AACAGTATGGTAGAAGGGAAAACTTAGCATGGTAGTAGGCTTGCCAGTCTGTAAAAGAGAAAAAAATCAATGATGATAAGAAATTTAGAAGAAAGTGAAGGAAGCCCCTAGCTAATAACATATGGCTGCAGCACTCATTTGACATCCTCCTAATACAGCATGGCAAAAATCCTCAAATATCCACGATTAATCTAGTGAATTGGAGATAGTTCACCTCTCAATGACTTCACAAGTGTCTGCTTCAGTCAGCTTTGGTAAATAAAATAACCAAATCATAATTCAGGTTTCTGATGTAGCTGCAATATTAATCTGAAAAAATATCAATAAATCACTTCTCTAAAGTATATAGTGTGCACTGTCTAAAAATGAAACCTACATCTGTCTCTTGAGTTGTAAATAATATGGTATTAAAGCTAATATGATGCAACAAGAATGCACTTTTTGTAGAAAAACTGATCTGTGTATAACTCTTATGTTAACAATTGCAATCTTTGAAAAGCTCTCTCTACTTTTTTTCCCTAGGTGAATCGTCTGTCTCTACCTTAGTCTTTTGTGTATATCTTCCTTTTCCTATTCATAGAGCCTGTAAGAATGCAGAGCACTGACTCGAGAAGAGTTTGAATCAACTTAAACAAAACGGCAGTAATAAAACATTATCTTATTCAAAATTCATACAAAGATTTGTGAATATGCTTATGGGTCCTTCCCCCCCCCCGGCCCAAATGAGCCATTCCAGCCCACAGTAGATGACAGCTCAGCTCTGGCTTCAACCCCAAGCTCAGGACTGAAGCTGTAGCTGAGCAGCCACCTGACTGAGACTGGTACTTGAATCCAAGATGAGGCTTTTCTCCCCCCACATTGTTTTTGAGGGGACAAAACCTCATCTTAGTTCCAACTAATACAGTGTTTAGAAGAGGTTCCTTTTTTTGTTTATGAAAGCTGTTTTGATAAAGCTTACATTTTTAAGTCTGATCTGATCTCCCATTATCTCTAAAAGATTCACAGAGGTGTACACTAAATAAAACTTCAGTTCTTAGAAGTACAGTACAGAAAGTATGACATCGCTTCTATTTGAAACTGTTATGTACATGTGAATTTAGCGCATTCCACAATTGGTTCACAGTATTGAATATGCCATTCAAAGATGCTCAGACCCTTTCAGTGATTTTGATTTTGATTTGGAGAATTCCTTGAGCTTGTAAATAAACTCAATGAACATTATAATGCATCTGCAGATTTCAGAGTGGTTTACAAGAGGTAGGGATGTTTATTCCCTTTTTACAGTGTGGCAAATCACTTCAATTCTGTACCTCTGTATCAAGCATAACAGCATTGGAAATAGAACCTGTAACGTGAGGATCAAATATTAAGCCAGTGTCTTAGCCTTAGGGCCATACAGTCTCTAACAACACATTTGTTTTCTCTAGAAGGTTGGTTAGTCTGCTTTTTGTGAAAGGTGACACATGTAAGCTCTTGTTAAATTCACAGAACAAGTACAGCAGTGCTATCTCAGGCTCTTTTGCAGCCCCAGTCTGTAAATTCATCTCACTTCTGGATGGAATACCAGAATCAGGTTCGGTAGGCGTTATCCACTGCAGAGTGTAGAGATCCTTCTACATAGGGGGAAAATTAATTTTGTCATTAGTGTCGCTGCTTGGATTTGTGCTGCTGAAATGGAGGGGCAGATTTCTTTTAAAATCTTTCAGTCTGACATTCAAATATACATTTATTTCAGTGGTTTCAAGGAGTTACTTTTCCCACCTTTTTAATGTTTCCCTTCAAAAAAATTGTTTTTTAAATGCAGGGAAATTTAAAGTGTATCATCATGTTTGACATTGCCTCCCCTGCTCCTTCCCACTTTTCATTTCCTGACTTCTGTGAATTGAAAGCCCCAAGTACACTTCAACTCATGTAAAATATTTGGGTTTGGAGGGTTTTGTTAGGGGTGGTGACTTGAATACAAGATTTAAGTTAAATGTTTGCTATAGGACACCAAGATGTGCCCAGTGGATATCAGTGAATTTGTCATCTGATTGTACACGTCACTGATATTGTCCAAGCGGCTCTCAAAGTCCTCTTATAAAATGAAAGGTCTCAGATATTGTTGTAGTTTTTCATTAGGTGTCTAAACAACTATACAGGGATGTACTTAAGAGGGAGAAGTCAACATGCATCTGTCTAGACAGTGTAATTTGGGAGCAGCTTGTTTTGAAAATAAGCTCAGCTCTGTCCAGGGTGCTGAATAGTCTGTAGATAATAGACATGTTTGTGAAATAAGAGAGACAAAGCTTGATGCACATTTGAAAGTGTGTGCTTTAAGGCAGTTTGCTTCACTTGGTATCTCTTGCCACCAAATGGTCAGTATTTTCATTGTGTTTATGGGTTGGGCTACAGTACATCCACTGTAAGAAGTATAATAATTAAACAGGATATAAGGGGTGCTAACAGTATACGTGAATAAGAATTCAGGTATCAGTCTCCATTTTGGATGGTTATTTAACATACCTGAAATTCTCTCACAAAATTTTACTAAACTGCCTAAATGAAAAAATTGAAGCTGTTCTTTTATTATTTTGGTTTTAGTATTAACCCTGAGGTGATGCCCTTGCATGACTGCCCTGGGTCAGGTATCAGTCATGTTATGTGGATGCTAGGAAACAAACTGAAGTTTAATCTCTCCAGATTTTTTTATTTTTGACGAATCCAGTGGTTTCATTATTTGTTGGAGACTAAAATTTAATTTTACTTAAGTAGATCAGAGAAATAGTATAAATGTCAGTATTTAGTGACTAGTTGCATCCTATAATAATTACTTGTAACCAAACTCTTATGGCCAGATCCTGTTCCATCCTGCTAGAGTCCCTGAAAAACCTCTCCAACATGCACCTTTTTGTAATAAGTCAGATCTACCCCTTGCAGGTTTTTTGTGGTTTAGTCTTAAGGGTAACATGATGCTGTGTTACAGGTGCATTAATGGGATGTTCAGGGACTTGAAAGGGTGGGATAGAATCACACGTGGGCAGCTAATAGATGGACTAGAATCCGGCCCTCGGTTTTAGAATGGACAACAATAAAGACTTGATTCTACTTCATGGTTGCTGCACTTCTTGCTTGAGTTGAGCATATTAACATCTGTGTGGTTTGTTACTGTGAAATAGTATTGACACTTCATTTTCTAGGAGTGTAGAAAATTAGTTGTGGCATATTTATACTGCATCAGCAGCACACTGAAGTTGGAACATCTGCAAGCATGCCCTGCCCCATGTGGCAGCTGCAGTATCATTCCAGCAGCCATTTTTAAGCATGCCATTGACTGAGATGTTGAGCAGCCACAGCAAGATGTACTGCAGTGGCATCGCCAGCATGTTTTCAGGGTAGGAAACGCATCAACAGATAGGGCAGGGAGCAGAAAGAGCATCAGGTAGGACAAGGAACACAGGGGAAAGAGCAAGTGGAGCAGCAGAGTGGCAGATCTGGCAGTGAAGGGGGATCAGAGTGGCACTTGAGTAGGGGGCAGGACTTAGCTGTTGGCACACCTGCAAAAAAGTTGACCCCCACTGAGCAATGTGAGCAGATTAGGAAGTTTTAAGATGTTTGATTCCTGTTATTTGCATACATTTGTTCATTTGTGTTCGTTTTGAATTCTTTATAACAAGGGACCTTGCAGTATTGGGTGGAGCATTAGCTTCTGTTGTCTGGGTCGGAGTAGGAAGTATGCTAATTGTCAGTGTACAGTTGAATTGTAGGTGTTGCAGGTGGAACGTATATTTTAGTTTGATACGTTCTCTAGTAATATAGGTAAATAAAAAAGGGAATATGCTTCATTGTAGTTTCTTCCTCTTGTGCAACCTATTAAGCAATGTCAGAATTACGATAGTGATTCATTTTTAAGGCCTGAAAACGGGGCTTCTTAAGTGAACTTTTATTAAGGTATAGTACTAAACTGAGCATAAATTCCTTAATCTTTGGGTTCAAAATAAGAGGCCTAATACCACTATTTCAGTTATGTAGCACAGATATGGCCCTGAAAATCTTTTTGGAATCATTTTATGGGCTTAATTCTAAGATCACATTACACAGGAGAGACCTTTATGCCTATCAGGAATTTTATAGGATTCAGTATGTCCTCCTTGTAGGCAAAAGGATTTGCTCACTCAGGTCTGATTTTAAGGTCAGTGTTATGTCTAGGATATGAAATTTACTGTCTTCTGCGTAATCTCTTACCATAATTGAATAATTGGTATTGTTTTTTTGTGGTGGGCAGAAAGTTGAAACAAAGTTATGGGTTTGCAGGGCCTGTTTGTTAGTTTAATCAAGGTGTGTGTTTTTTAAAGTCAGGGTTTTTTTTAGATTTGAGAGAGATTTGTAGGTGCATTTTTTGCATTGTTTTTAACCAGCTGTACTACCAAAATTTAACAATGATAGTGATCTTGGATAGCAAGGTGGTAGTTTTTAAATGTTAATGTTTTGAAATGTCATTAAATCGTTTTTCTATTTTTTTTTTCAGTAAGAACTTAGACATTATTTTACATGCGTTTAAATCCTGTATCGAGCAAAAAATATTCAGTCAGTCTTGGAACAAATTATTCTACCTGTTTACTTTTGGATTGCTATTATTAAATACTTTATGAAGCAAGTTAGTAATAGTCATTTAGAAGCCCAAGTACATATGTATTATATTTAGCTAAACTCAGGTTCTGGACTGTGAGATATAGTGCCACATGAGAAAGTATATGTATTTGTTACTACTCAAAGTATAATTTTAAATTCCTATGGTCTGTGTCAGTCTAGAACCTTTTTAACTTCTTGTTTACATGGGGAAATTTACAAGCAGCATTATAGGCCTGTAATTATACTGGTATAATTATACAACTTCCTGATGCATGTTCTTATTCAGGAGTTACACATGCTTTTTTCTGATATAATCTGTCACTGAAATTTCCCAATACAGACAAAACATAAATTTCATGGCTAATTTCTTTTGTTTTCTGTTTTTCATAGCTGGAGATACAGATGATCCACCAAGAATTACCCAAAATCCTGTCATCAATGGGAATGTAGCGATGGCAGATGGACACAACAACACAGAAGAAGACATGGAGGATGGTAAGTAAATATATGATGAAAATATAGGTGGGGCAGGGACTGACTTGTCTATTAGTATAGTGTGCAGCTTAAAAGGTTTTTGATTCTTTTGAGGTGCTGTAGTGTAACTGATTATGAAACAAGCAAGAAAACACAAAAATTCCCACCTCTAAGTGCATCACTGCTAGTAAAGGGTCATTGCTGTCTAGTGCAGAAAATAAAATTTTAAATTTCTGCATAGCAATTTCTAGAGTAGTAATTCTTAAAGAGATGGGGCATCCCAAAAATTGTAAGTAGAAAAACTAGATATGTTGTGTATGGACAGTAAGATTTCATTTTAAATCTTTAAATCCAGTTATAATTAGTGGTTTCTGAAAATCTGTTCAGAACCATTGGAACCACCATTGTGCTGCAGATGACTGCACCAGTCCTGCCTCTCCCCCAGCACACTTCAGTCTGTTTTGCTTAGATAATAAAGTAGCAGCCATAGCCACATTTTAATCTGGGTGCAGCAGGTGGTGGTGACCCCCCTTTTCGAAATGGAACTTTAAATGACCAACATGTGGGACCTACCTGAAGAATACAGCTTGTCTCTTTCTTTTTTTCTGAGTCAACTTTAACATTTATGTAAAACAGCTTTTGGGTATAGTCCTTTCTCTGAGCCTTGTCACTTAAATTGATGTACCTAACTGTTTATAAATATGCTTAGAAGTACAAGTATGCTAAATACTTTTAAAAAAATAATCTGCCTATCATCTATTGAGGGGAACAGACAGACACTTTAAAGTAGAAAAAAAAAACTTTTTTTCCAAGAACTATATAGGAAAATGAAAGGATCGGAGAAAATAAATGAAGTTTCATTATAGTTAAACTCCAGAAAAAATGAACAGGGTTAGATTATCACAGTCAATTATATAGGTAGAAGAGAAACTTTCTCACTGATTTCTGAGAGACTGTGATCAAGAGAGCAATTAGGATAAGGCTGCAGGTCATAAGTATCTACCTCGGGGAGTTAAAAAAGTAATGTAATACTAAGGCATTAATTACTGGAGATGGGAGCGTTCAAGTGAGAAAAGATAATTAAATACAGGACAAAAAGATTATGGCCAGACTTCAAAAATGAGTATTGTCACTACGTCATAGCCAAAAAGGTCAGGAGGAAAAATTGACGTCAAAAGGGTCAAAGTACCAAAAAAGCAAAGTAAATGAAAGAGAGTCCTATATAACAGCAGCTTCAGAATTTTCTCTGGAAGACCTCACTTGTACTTAAAAGATTGGTATTAAAAGATAAAGCAATGGTTTCCATTTTGATTAAGATTGCGGTATCTGTTGTGCTAGCTGCCTTTAATGATACCACAGCTGTGACAGAACTTTATGGTGACCAATCAAGATTGTACCAGGTGACACTGACATTACCATCCACCAGTTACAAGTGACTGACCTAGTAGTAAAATATCCAACAAAAACCCTCATGTTTAGCCAAGTAGTATAAAAGCTTTATCTAAAAATGTATCTAAAAAGTGTGTGTGTGTGTAATTAAAAATAATACAATCTTCCAAATAAACTGAACAAAAAGCAGTCAGGCTGCATAAGAGGTAAGTTATATCAGAGCTAATAGAGAACACACACATTCATATAAACCATTTACTTCCTGTCTAGGCAGAGTAGCTTTGACTCTATATGAAAGTCAATACAGAATATCAAGTTAAGTGGAAATGACAACATTTTATATGGCTATAGGCCAACTTGCATAAAAAGCCTCTTTGCAGAGGTCCCCAGCAAAAGCCTGCCATGCTTGTGCTGGAGCTGACCACTAAGATAACTCTTCCATGCTCTTATACCAGGTTCACAGGTTTCAGAGGGCATTGCTATAGTATAGAATCAGTTCATGGGCTAGGATCCGGGACAAAAAATAGAGAATTAAGTTTTGGGGATGAGCAGTCTATCAGGCAATATATAATTAGTACAGAAATTCTTTGACATGTTGGTTAATCATTCCTTGTAATCATACCTGAGCAAGGAGTGCCTAGCTACATTGTGATGTTATGCTGCTTTTACTGTACACCAGAGACAGGACATTGTTTCAGTGCAAATGTTGCAATCCAGGAAGCCTCTGCGCTTTACCTCATGTAGGTGGATGATGCCATCATCAAGGCTATTCAGTTGGGCAACCCACCAGATATTGCATTATTTGTTCTTCATTTGAAATTGCAGTTGTAGCATTTATACTCTTGCTATCCCAGTTTGTACAATGACATGTATGTAAGGATTGGCCCAGTGATTGAAGGTTAGTGATAAAGTGAGATCGGGGATAGCAGAAGGTAGAACACGTTTATCAAGGTGGCAGTGTTGATACTACCTGTAACCCATCTACTCTTAGCAGGCCTCTTTGCAACAACTAAGTTCAAGATAAGACTGTATCAGTGCATGTTGGAGGAAGAGCAAGCATTACAGAGCAAGACAATTGCAGCTCATTTACAGAGGTTGAAAGCACCCTGTTAAGCTAGGAGAAAGCATTAATGTTGCTAGTAGGTTCATGCACTTGAAGGCAGATAGGGAGAAAAGAGGGCGTCACACAATTACAGCAGACCTAATATCATATTTTCTCACATGCAATATGAGAAAAATAGGCATCTTGTTTTTGAAAGGCAGAAGGAAAGAAAAATTCCTTGAGAGCCTCTTCTAATGTGTGTGCGCTTGGAGGGGAGGGAGACAGCATCCACAGCCAGTGACACGGGAGTCCTGCGTGTAACGTACAGAGTTCTACTTTCACTTTCTTTTAGTAGAGGCTGATGTGGCAGAAATTGCTGTTACCCATTTCCTCAATTATAATGTGCACACCAATTACCAATCACTGAATTTTTGGGGAACAGTGTAAGTTGGATATAAGAAAATATTGTCTCATACTACTGTGTGCATTGCTAAAAAAATTTATAAGGCTAGAATACTCAATGGCAGGAAGACAGAGTTCTTTGGGTAAATCCAATATCTTTTATTAGACCAATTAAAATAGTTGAAAAAATGCTTCTTTGCAAGTTTTCTGGTACAAACACCTTTTGTCAGGCTGAGGAAGCATCTGCAGCTGGTCTGTGCTCTTACTGGATGGAATACAGAAGAAGCCAGTATGCATGCAAGAAAGTCAGTCAGTGGAAATGCAAATTGAGACAGTCAGTGGGTAAGAGACAGGTGGGATGGGAAGGAAGGGGAATGGCAGGAAAGCACAATGTGTAGTGACTTGTTCCATGGAAGTTCACTAGCAGCGGATCTGAAAATAAGTTGTTAGATGTTGACTTTTTTCTTGATGTTGGTACAATATGGCCCTTCTGGTTAGAGTAACAAGAAGATGCCTCCTTCATCAGGTTCCGTGGAACACAGATACTCCTGTCATTGGGAGATTAAATTATTTGCTATGGTATGCTAAAGCATTGGCCAATTTGTTTTAGCAGACTGATTTGTGGAGATGTGTTTATACTTTCAAAACATTGGGAAGAGAAGCATCTATTTTCAAAAGAGTATTCATGTACAGTGACACTGGTATAGCAGAAGTAAAGAGAGGTAGTTAGCCATGTTAGTCTGAAGTCAGATAGACACGAGGATAGATATGCACCCTATAGACTTACTAACCAAGAGAGGGGGAGAGAGAGAGCACATGAGTGCACGTGGTTTAGTGTTCTCCAGTTTGCAAAAGCATCTCATGAAGTCACAAAACCTTGTACTCCACATCTATACCTATAATTTATGTAGTCTACAGGGTGCAGCAGAAGTGGTCCATCCAGGAAAATGAACCTAAGTAGGAACTGGTCAGAAAAATAAATGCTCTGAGTTTGGAAGTGAGCGGAGCTAAAATACACACATTTTTATATATTGTTAATCTCTGCAGTTGAAAGGAACTGTTTAAATAATGTCTCTGGGGTGCATTATAAACATGACTTTTGTAGGGGAACAAAAGTTGACTTCAAGTGAAATATATACTCTGCTGTAGGAAAGAAGGTAGTCAACTTCAAAGAATCAGGGATTTTGCATGTTCCAGAATGGTACCTGAGGCATTTCACTAAGCTTAATTTTTTGCAAGGTGGAAGTGACAGCTTCAGTAAACATCCTCTATTATGAAGTGGTTTTTTGTTTGTTTGTTTGTTTGTTTTAATCAGTTCATTCTCATGTAAAAGATTCCGCGTGACAGTTAGATTAACCAGTTCCCTCACAAGTAAGAGATTTAAACTGAAGGCTCTTTAATTAAAAACTTGAACGATTATGGTATTTGCAGTATTAAAAGTATCCATTGAAGCTCTGTTCCTAATAGTGATTTGAAGCAGAGGATTTCAGAAACAGGAATCTTAATTGTGGAGTATTATACCCCTCATTTGACACCAGTGGAGTTCATTTGAAAGTCCACTCTTTCATGGAATATAATTGGTTTTAACCATTTCTTGCCATTAATCATACAGCTGTAAAAGTACTTTAACATAAACTGAATAATGCATGGAGAACGCTCAAGTTTTTCTTGAAAAGAGAAATAAATTTGTTTTCTACCGAATTGTAAACACTTAAAAGATATGTTACTTAATAGTAAAATGGCTTATGTGCTATTCCTGGGTCACAGGTTTAGAGGATTTTTGTTCCGTTGACCAGTTAAATGGGCTTTGGCTATATTAACGTATCCTTGCAGCTTCCACCACCAAACTGCCAGAGTGTATACATATCCATGCACTCTTGGTGACCCTGTGTGTAGATGTGGCAGGGCACCGTTGGTGCCTGCCACTTTAAGGGCTGAGCCAAACAGCCAGCAGGCGCGTGATTACAGCGGCCATTTTGGAACTCTGGCCGCCTATATAAACAGAGGAGTTTGCTGCTGGCAGGCCAGGCAGAAACAAGTGGGTGGGCCAGTGGCAGACCAGCCCTGAGAGAGCCCCCGTTACATTAGACTAGACCTAAGGCTAGATTTTGTCACACATGGAAAATAGGATCATATCACTATTTTGGATTGCTGGTTTTTAAAGTATTTAGATAAACATATGACACTAGCATACCTAAGCAAATGGGAAGGCAAGAAGTCAAGTAAAGTAATCTTAGTCTGATATTTGTTAATCATATCTAGCTGTAACTCTGGAAGTGGAGTGATTACATTAAAAAAATAATTATAATCGGGTTGGAAGAGAAAAACAGTAGTCAATAATCCCAGCTAATATGGACCAAAAACTGTTTCTAAATCAAATAGTTTGCTACATAAATATACACTTAAATGTTTGTATATCTATTGCATATATACTATTTTTTCAGGTTGTTCATTATATCAAGTTGTTTCCAAAATCATATGCCTTACATGTCCTTACTCTAAATTCTACTGCACACACTGATGGCATGTTCTGCATTTGGGTAGTTTTTGGTTCTGTACTGTTTGAAACTGTCCAAATGACTTTGGAGCACTCCAACCAGCAAGTGTACAGATGTATAAGGTCAAAGAAGCACTTCAAAAATGGCCAAAGAGCTTCAAAATTGATCCTCAAAAGATGAAAAATATCTTTGAAGCCTTTGAAACATCTGTGTCCTCCAACAGAGTGCACGGGGGTGGCTCAGTCTTCTGGCATCTCACATTGCTCCACCCTGTTATACTGTAGCTACCTCACCACCACCCCCCCCCCCCCCCCCCCCCCCCCCCCCGCAATTACGACTTCTGCAGGTTGAGAGGCATGCAAGGAACAAATGCCCTGTCACTGAAGAAAATAATTTCTTGAGACATTCAACTAATACTGCAGACTTATTTAATCATTCTTCATCTTCTAATAGATTATTTTAAAATATAAACATTCTGATCCAATACATTTTAATTGGGTTAAATGTTTGTTGTGGCACAAAAAAATGTGCCCAGCTGTACATTCTGTGATTTAAAGACAGAATAGTGCAGTGCCTTAGTACTCTTTTTAAGACTTGTGACCAGGTTTCAGTTCCTTGTGCCACCATAAACCATATACATGTGAATTTGAGGAAGACACTTGATTGCTGCCTCCTTCACTAAAATGGATATTACCTCAATTGAAAGGATATGTTTGGTTTTGTATTTTCTGCATATGGTAGTAGGTACTTCATATAATGAAGAATATATGTAGGTACCTTACTGTATACTCTTGGAAGTAAAGGATTCCGTTCTCCTACCAGCTGTTCCCAGCCAAGGCTGCCACAACCTTCAGCATCCCTGTTGACACCTTCTGCCATGCAAATGTTTATGAGCAACAGCGATCCTGGTTTTCTCTAATAAAAAATAGCAAATTCTCTGATTTAACACCCCCCACCCCAGCTGTGTTTTTCCATGATGAAAATGAAACACCACTATATATGGATATCAGTTGAACAGTGTTTTATTGAGATATTTAACATTTTAAAGCAGTTTGGAAGCCTGCCAGTGCCTCTATCACTATAATAAAATAAATTCTAAATATTCATTTTGGCATTTGATTTTGGGTTTTTTATCATGGAAAATCAGAGCTCCCGCTTTGCTCACCAGGACACAGGTCCAGTTGCAGTTGTGCCACCCCACTCTGCTTTGGATGATGAGCAGCCCTGATATGCCAGTACCCTGCCCGACATTGTCCCTCACTCCCAAGCCATATCCCCCCACCCCCCAGCGGTGTTGGTCCCCTTCACTCCCCACCCACAGCCCCCCACCTCCCCAGCCCTGCCAGAGGGGGCCCCCAGCTGCCAGAGCTAAGGGACACGGGACTCGGGTCTGCAGCCCCTGCCCTCCACAGCAGCGCCCAAGCCCCGGATGCCATCCGTGGGAGGCAGCAGATGCTGCAGCGGAGCAGAGCATGGAGTCTTGCTCCCTCCCCCACAGGTAGCACGGCTGGAGCAGAGTCCATGGGGATGCGAATGCAGGCTGCCTGCTGTGTGCTTGCGGCTCCCTGCCCTGCTGTCCTCCCCTGGGGCTTCTGCAGCCCAACGGGCAGGACCTGGCATGGCAGGACAAAGCGGGGCTGGGCGGGGAAGCTCAGTGCCACCACCACTAGGCCCATGTTGCCATGGTGAGGCGCCCCCTGCCTGCCCAGCCGCATCAAAGGGCACCACTCCACGCTGCCATCCCTGCTACTGCTGGGAGGGCAGAAGGTGCCTTGCCATGGTGGAACGGGACTCGCTGTGGTGGTATCAGGCTTCCCTGACCTGCTTTGACCTGCTGCACCAGGTTCTGCCCTCTGGGCCACGGAGACCCCAGGAGGAGGGCAGCAAGGTAGGGAGGCCCCAAGCCCGCAGCCCACATTTGCCCCATGCACAAATTGAGTGGGGGGGCACATGCCACGTGGTACCCCTGGGAATGCACACAGCAGCAGGGAGTCTTCCCCTCCCTTGCTGCCCTCCAGACGAGCTGCTCGCGGTTCCCTTCTGCTCCCTGCGTGGGCCTTGCAGCCACACATTCGAGCCCTGGGCCCCAAGCCCTATGCACCACCCCAGCTGGGCAGCAGCCCCAGCCCTGCCCAGTTTCCTCCCTCCCTCACTATGGGACCTCAATCCTTCCCCCACCCCCTCCTCGATTTAACTGCAGGAGCAGCTCTCCAGGCTGCCCGGCAGCCACGTGCATGTGTATGTACGCACATGCACATAGCACCCCCGCCTTGATAGTCCTCCTTCCAGTCCCTTGTCGGTTAGAACTCCGCCAGTCTGTAAGGGGAAACCCGCCGTTTCCCATGTTTTTCTCCTTAAAATGAGAAAATCCAGGTTTTACCGCATTTTTCTGTAGTGAATGGAAAACGTGGTTCCCTGATCAGCAGAAGAATCTGTCCAGATTATGGACTAAAAATGTAGCGAAAACATGAAATTAAATCAGTTTAAATTATTAAAAGAGGGGCATAATGGCTGTTAAGCTAAGCAGTGTTCAGTAGGCCTGTGCAAAGCGGCTAGTATTCACTTTGGATTCAGCCAATTCAGAGGACAGTGACTTGATTCAGTGATTCAGATCACTGTCCCAAATCAATTCGGCCGAATCGGCCCCGTCCCCCACCCACTCAGTGGCTGCCCAGCCCACTCTCCCAGCTCTTTAAAAAAAAAAAAAAAAAAAAAAGCACCCACTCACCGGTGCTGCCAGGTGGGGGGGCAATCCCCACTGCCCCACACCACATGGGGGGGCTCTACCACGAGCCCCCTGACCCTCCTTCATGGCTGCCCTGCCTGCGCCAGCCTTCAAATCTTTTCCAAATCTCCTGATTCAATTCGGATTCAGAGATTCGTCACTGAATCGAGCCAAATCTCCTCCGAATCGAATCAGCACCCAAAGATTCACACAGCCCTAGTGTTCAGTTTCATAATGAAATAGATAAAATGTTACGAGTTTATGTTGAAGTTGTCTTAGTTTTTCCAGTGAATCTTCCCACAGGTTTTAATTATAGACTGTCACAGAATTTGTAGGTCCTTGATCTTGTAAATTATGCAGTCAACTAACAAGGGATTACAAAAGAAACAGTTACTGCTTTCACTTTTTTACTGGGGTGGTGGCTATTCGGGGCAATACAAAGCAGCTAAAAGGTAACTCATTAATACTTGATGGTATAAATAGATTCTTGGTACTCTTTTATGTCATTATTCCTCTTTCACTGTTGGGTGCAGTGTCTCTGCTGAAACAGAAACCTGTTTCTATGTAGAAGTTCTGGGGACATAGAGCTGGAATTGGTAGTAATCTAAATTGCATGAAAATTGACATATATAGGACTCTTATGTTATTGCTTACCTTTGGAGAAATTTTGAAATTTGAGTTGTAATGAATTTTAGAAGTTAAACATCATTTAAGAGAAGATTGGATTAGAGATGCATTCTTCTAGAAATGCTCTTCCTTTTTTATGAGAATTGAATGTATACTGTAATGTCACTTCAGCTGGAGCTGACGTTCTAAGCAACTTTTCATAGTAGGGTAGTTACTAGAAAACAGTATTAATTATTCCTGGTTCATGAGAAAAATTGTAACCCAGGTACCAGTGAGTTCTTCCAATAGTTTAGTGTTTGTGACAGTTTTTATGCCTTACTGTTTTGCAAAACTTTTATTTCAGGTACCATGTGTTCCACGGTTTTGAAAAGGTATGTTTTGCAATTAAGTGTCTTCAGAATTTACAGTTACTATTTTGATCATTTTTCCTTTTTTTGCTTAGACACAAGTTGGCGATCAGAAGCAACGTTTCAGTTTACAGTTGAACGTTTCAATAGGCTGAGTGAGTCAGTCCTCAGTCCTCCCTGCTTTGTACGAAACTTACCATGGAAGATCATGGTGATGCCACGTCTTTATCCTGACAGACCACACCAAAAAAGTGTAGGATTCTTTCTTCAATGCAATGCTGAATCTGATTCCACGTAAGATGCTTTAAATAATTGATATGCAAACCCAGATATGAGATTGTTAATTGTATTGCAAAACAAGCTAATAGTTGATTAAAATTACTTGGCAGAGTTCTTGTCTTGAGGGGTAGGGCTTATCCTGTTTTTAGTTTCTGAAGAGTTCTCTGCTTTTCATCTACTACTTGCTCCCCACCCCCGCTCCAAAGCCATGTTGTAAGACTTGTCCTTTGAGGCAATTTGTTCAACTAGAAGCTTCTGATGGAACTAAAACATGATTCTCTTGGACTAGTGAGAGCGATGTGCGAGAGACTTTTAAAGAGAGCATCACACTCTGTCAACAGCATTGCCAGCCTTGCTGTCATGGGAAAGGAAGATCTGTGCTTACTTGTGTTAAAATGCTACTAGACATCCCTCTAATCCACTTGAGTCATTAATTCTGCCCTATAATGCAGCAGTTTCTAAATAAAGTAGGCAAAAAAAACCCTTTCTTGTCAGTATAGCCTGAGGTAGCGACTTCTGTCCCTCCGTGGCCCAGTTGGATCAGAAAGAAATTTTCACTATTAGCAGGTTATTTCATAATAGTTTATGTAAGGTGATTTCCTTCATCTTTCTCTGAGGCATAAAGTACAGATGGCCATCAGTTGTAGGATGTTGAAGTAGAAAGATCATTGATTTGGTCCAGCATGTTATTTGCCTGACAGAAACAACAGTACCACAAAACATAGTCCTTTGTTGCCACCCTCTGTCCTAGTTGAGGGAAAGGAGGAATCCTATAAGAAAAGTAAACCTGCCAAGAAAAAATGAAATGTTTCATGAGAAGGACAATCCAACATCTCCAGAGTAGGCACTACAAGTATGCATCCCTAATCATTAGGCACTGATAGAGATTTTTGGGGCTGATACCGATGGCTGATTTTTAACGAGCCATATTGACCGATACTTACCCAATTCCGATATGCAGCCCCACAGCATGGAGAGCGGTGTGGAGCTGACAAGTCTGTTGTGGGGGGAAAGGTTGCGGGGGAAGGGAAAGGGTCTGGGAGGGGCAGATCGAGGCCTTCGTGGTGAAGGAGGGGGCGGGGCAAGGGCTGCCCACCTGGGGCAGGACAGGGTGTGGGACAGAGCCATGGCTCGTCCAGAGGGCACGGGGGGGGGCAGCTCCCACTGCTGCGCACACCCTGGAAGAGCATGGGGGGGCGTGTGCCCCCAGATCTGCGCGCGGACCTGGGAGTGCTGCTGCTGCAGACTGGGGTCAGGGCTGCGCCAGGCTCTTCCCAGTGAGGGACTGGGCTGGGCTGCGCTTTGGGAGCACAACGGTGGCACTGGGAGGGGGCTATGGGCAAATTTGGGGGTGGCTGCAGCCCCCCTCCCAGCACCACCACCACCATCCACCCTGAGCCCAGCCCATCCCACCCCACACAAATCTGGGGCCACGTGATCCCCCCCATGCTGTCCTGAGGTGCACTTCAGGTGGGAGTGCCCCCCCACTCCCTCTGGACAAGCCATGACTCTGTCCCGTTCCCCACCCCGCCTCGGCTGTGCAGGGCCTGCCCCGTTCCCTCCCTCACCGCAGGGGCCTCGATCTGCCCCGCCCCTTCCCCCACAACAGACTTACCAACCGGACCCAGCTGCTTTCCATGCTGCCAGGCTGCGCTCCTGGTTGCCTGCTGCTGCGCTGCAGCATTTATTGGCCACATTATTGGCTACATCAGACAAAAAAAGCCAGTTGCCAGTGTTCTAAATTTTCTTCATGTTGGTGCCAATCTGATATGGAACCAATCTATTGGTTCACCTCTACTAATCATGAAACCCATAAGGCCAATGTATGGCATTTCCAGGGGAAGGACTCCTTAGCAATCTTCTGATGCTGTACAGAGAGCAGTTTGCTCTTACAACCACAAGATGGATTCCATTGGCCTTTTGCTGTTGGCTGGACAAAAGTTTTAATCTGAGAGCAGAGCAGTTTGTTTTTGTGAGCTTTGTATTTACCTCCTCACTCCTTTAAATTGTTTGAGTTTTTGACATATGGTTAGTGCATGTTTTGGTTTGGTGTCTGTGGGTGAAGCAAAGAAACACAGAGAAAGACGTGGAGTTGAACTGCATTGGTTGCTTTTTCCAGTGAGGTATGTTTATTTTGGATGATATTGCATACCACTTCCAATGTAGTATTCAGTATTTTCTCTCAGACCACACGCTCTCAAGTAAGACATGTACCTTATTTTTTGGAAGGCAGAAAGTAGAGAGATTTTTCCTCAGTCATGGCCATCTGTGAGACATTAGAATAAATTCTCTTGGGAGTAGAGATGTATCCTGGGAACACATTTCTTCAGGAAGTGTGGCAACCTAGGAGCAGCAGGACCTTCCTGGTGTGGCAAGATAGCAACAAGGCTAGACCCCAAACCCTTATAAGGACCTTAGCAAGACTTTTACTTCTTTACTGTAAATATTTCTTTATATAAGGTCCAATAAATGATGCAGTGTCATTTCCATACTGCAGGTCTCACCAAGATACTGCAAAATACGCAGCAGCCCACTTGCCCGTAGCCAACTCAGTTACTGCTTCAGGGACAAGCTACAGTGCTTAGCCAGTAGCTATAGCTGTGGGGGTGTTAATGTAGGACCCTGCCCCTTCTGCTTTCCAGACTGGAGATGCATAGCAGCAGTCTGGGGAGCCATTATAGCAGTGTCTGCTTGATTCTATTCCAGTGAAGAAAACTCAGTTTCTTCACTTAGGATATGAACCCCAATTTTGCAGGGCTTATTTTGAGGAAATGTGCTTTTGGTACAGTGCAGTGTTTCCCAACCTTTTCCAACCCAAGGCACACTTACATTAATAAAATTTCTGCAGCACACCTGTTAAGGCATTCCCCATCCTCATACTTATTGTAGCTCATTCTGTGGCACACCTATTCATTTCTGACAGCACACTTCTGTGCCGCTGCACACTGGTTGGGAAACACTGGTATAGTGATGGCAGTGGCTCCTACTTTGTTTTGGAAGTAGAAGATTGGCTGTTGACTGGGAGTAAATCATTTGGAAATGACAGGTTGAAAGAGACTTGGGAGCATTAGTCAGTCACAGGTTGTGATCTTTGGAAGCATCAGACAAGATATTTCCAGTAGGATGGTGCTAGTGTAAAAGGTACTGGTGAAAACTTGCTGTGTTCAGTTCTGAACACCATGCTAAAGAAAGATGAATTGAAAATGGAACAGGTTAGAGAAGGACTACCAGGGGACCAAGGAGTGTCTTACAGGTAGAGATTAAAGGGGATTAGCTTGCTCAGCCTAGAAGAATGATAGCTGAGAGGGATATGAGTGCTCTCTGTAAACGCATCAGGAGGCAAACATTAGGCAGGGAGGAGAGCTCCTCATGCTAAATAACACCACTACCACAAAAACAAATGGATATCAACTGGCCATAAATAAATTTAAGATGGAAATTGGAAGAATGCTTTTAATTGTTGGGTTGGAGTGAGGTTTAGGAACAGCCTCCCAAAAAGGGGAGGTGGGAGAGTGGGCCCTGTCTGGTTTTAAGGTAGAGCTGAATCAGTTTATGCAAGGAATTCTATAGTATGTTTTCATGCAATAAAAAGGGACTAGAGTTGACAAGTTAGGAGGTCCCTTTCCAGACCCATGTTCCTCATTATTACATGCATTATACATTTCTACAGTTCAAGTAGAAGTGTTGTCTGTGTATGAATACTAAGCCCCAATGGCTGCTTACAGAGGTGAAAAAAAACCCAGCATTTTATTTTCAGGTGGGCATCTCCAAGCACGGTGCATGCCCAGAAGAGGCGTAGCTTTAGTTTGACCTAGTTCACTCAACATCTGTATAGCTTGGGAGCTTCAGTGGGGCTTTTGGTGCTGTAATTAGCTGATTGAATCAGCTTTAGATGAAAGTGCCAAAAAGCCCTGCTGAAGTGCCCGATGTATACAGATGCTGAGGAGCTGGGTCGAGCTATAGCACACTTTCTCTTCTGGTAAAGCAGTGGGGTTTTTTGTTTTTTGGGGGGGTTTTGTCTGTCAGTGCCCAGTGATATCAGATAAACTTCAGGAGGCCACCTTTTTATATTCTTGGCTGCTGTTTCCTAGTTCTTGTAACATACCCTTTTATAAAATAGTTCCAACCTGTTTAATTTAAAAGTAAAAACAAAGTAAAGCATGCTGGGAAGAATGTTTTATAGAGAGCGCTTTTAGAAAGTAATGTTATCTAAAACTTCATTTTTGAAAATACTTGGTCTAACGAGCATTAGTGTGTATGGTGTGACTCCTAAAGGCCAGAGATTAATTCTTACTAATGCTTCTAATAGCAGCTGAGCAAACTATAAAAATCTAATGAGGAACAAAACGTGTAGTCATCTCTATGCAAGTGCAGATTTAGTATGTAAAATAAACCTTGCACAAATATTTTCTATGACTGAAGAAACCTGGGTTGACATTAATTTCATATGTTTCTTTTTCTAGGTCATGGTCTTGTCATGCGCAAGCAGTTCTCAAGATAATAAATTACAAGGACGATGAGAAATCATTCAGTCGCCGAATTAGTCACTTATTCTTTCATAAGGAAAATGACTGGGGCTTTTCCAACTTCATGGCATGGAGTGTAAGTGACGGTATAATGGGCATATAATAATGGCCTGTTATTGGGTAGAGAGAATGGTTCTGGTCCTGGACATGCAGTTGGTCTTTTAAACCAAAAACAGCTTTTCTAATTAATTTTTTTCCTACAAGAGGTAGTCTAGCATGTGAATGATGCTTGGGTTGAATATGTCTTTGAGTACTGCTGACCTGCTTCACGCTATTAGTGAAGATTCCTTATAATTGTTTTACCTGATATATAGTGACTTCAATATTTTTGTCCTTCCTTTTTTTTTTTTTTGATCTGCCTGTAGTGGTGTTCGCATACAGGAGATTAATTTTTACCAAGTTTCTTTCAGCTCTGCTAAATCATAATCACTTATTTCAGCGCACCCTCAATTTTTGGCTTGTTTGTATTTGTATACAGACACTATTTAGTACATAAGTAATACTCTTAATGTTTGTCTTAAATTGAGACAGCTGTTAGGGAAGTTTTGGCCCCTTCTCATCTGGCCAAAATAGTTTCATAAATGATCTGCCATGAATAGAAGCAAAGCTTTGATTACCAACTTTTTTATCCACTTAAATAGAACTGCTGTTGCAAAAACATAAAAGTTGGAAAAAGTTTGCTAGATTAAGATATTAAAAAGTATTTAAATACACAGAGCTCAATGTCAGAGGTTAATTGTGTCCTTCAATGGCTGCTTCAGCTTGCTGGAAAAATAATTTTATGGGTGATAATTTTTTTAAACTTGGAAAATCTGAGCATTGTCCAGACTGAATTTTTCACTACATTCTTCATATTTTGATTCAGAAATTAGTTTGGAAGTAGATTTATCATTCTTTTATCATTCCTGTTATACAGGAGGTTACTGATCCTGAGAAAGGATTTATAGAAGATGACAAGGTTACTTTTGAAGTCTATGTTCAAGCAGATGCTCCCCATGGAGTGGCGTAAGTATCTTTAGCAGTTGTTGTCGCTGAAGCAGAAATGCTTAGTAAACAAACTTGACAGAAAATTCACTGTTTAAAATTTTCATGTCAGTAAAAGTATTGTGTAGTTTTTAAGAATATTATTTAAATAGCATGGTTCCTCAGAGGTTCTCAAAGTACTTTGCTGTTGTTAACTTATAGACTGTTAACAAAAGTCTGTTTTTCTGTTATTATATAGAAATGTATTTTGTGAGTCTTAAGTGTTCATCGTTGTTCAGTATAACCTTGTGTAACTTTATTTGGAACAAGGCACTTAGATATATATGAACAGATATACGATTTGTTTGATTAAAAAGCGGCCCCTCCCCTGGCCCATGGCTGGCGCCCCGTGCTGCAGCTGCTCACCACCCACGTGGGGCTGCCTGTGCCTGCTCAAGACAGCCCTGCTCGGGCTACAAGCAGCTGCAGCAGGGAGTATGGGCCATGGGGTGGGCAAGGGACTGCGCTTCCCCTGGCTCCTCCCCTTCTCCCCCATTGCACCTGAGGTTCCGGCACCGAGGCAGCCACGTGGTCCCAGGCCAGAAGTCCCTGCTGGGGCTTCTGGCTGGGGGGCTGGGCCAGGCGGGCCCTGCTGTTGCGGGAGCCCGCCAGGCTTTCCCTGGTCCTACTGTCCCTGGTTCCTGTCGTTTTCAACAGGAACCAAGGGCAGATCAATATTAATTTTCTAAATTTTTTTAGGAGAATGGCCTTGTGGGCCAGATGGGGCCCGCGGGCCATATTTTGGCCATCCCTGGATTAGGGGAATGCTTTAATAGAAGTTGGCTCTGAGTTTAACCCACTTCCAACTTGGCTCACTCTGCCACAGCTGCAGTCATAGTCCCCTCCTCTACAAATGCTATTGTGTGTGGGTGGAGTCCCCTGCCACTGAAGCTTTGCAGGCTGGATAAAAGTGGCTCTGTGGGCTGGATCTGGCCCGTGGGCCATAGATTACTGATGCCTGTATTATAGTTACATTTATCCATGTCCAACTTAAAGTTTTCACTGTTAACTGCTTTCTAGGTGGGATTCCAAGAAGCACACAGGATATGTTGGGTTGAAGAACCAGGGAGCAACCTGTTACATGAACAGCTTGTTACAGACTTTATTTTTCACAAATCAACTACGAAAGGTAATTAAATACCATTAGCGTGTTATTACCATCAAGTGTTATTTTTTGAAAAGCTGTCCATCTCACCTTTCTTCAAACCCATTCTTTGTTTGCTCCTTTCAGAGGAAACTTCTACATCCTAGTGGAATAATGTAAAACTTCAGAATACACGACCCTAATTTGCTCACTACTTGTTCAAAGGGTACCTTGCTGTCTGTTGGCTTCTTTCTCTAGCTGAAGAAATAAATGGCTCCATGGAGTTAGGTAGTAAAGGTGATGGGACATCAGTGTAATTAGTATATCATATTATCTTACATACAGCATTCCCTGAAATAAGAGATCCACCTTGTTTTGAAAGGGTGAATGAAGGAAAAAAAAGGATCTTTTCTTGTAATAAATAGCTGAGTGCAGCAGCTAGGGAGCTGAGCCTTATCATTGTTCTGCTCCCTGTGAGACCTTGTGCATACTTTGCTTTTGCCCAGGAAGTGGCAGAAACTTCTCTTACCATATTTCTTCATATAAAGAAAGAAACTCCAATTTCCAGCACCTGTTTTTTGGAAAAAAGGGTGTGTGGTATAAGCAAGAAAATATGTTGTAATATCTTATAAAGTGCTGTCTGATTAATTCAGGGGGAGGAGGAATCCACATTTTAGTAGGGTTGCATAGTTTATGTCTTTATACTATCTACTAGGACTGGCCCAAGAACTTGTCTTTATAGGTTTTCTGGATGTGGGTAAGCCAAATAGCTGTTGTACCTTTTTGAGTGTGTGAAAGAGATGTTTGCTGCACTGCCTCATTCTGGTAGCGAGACCATAAATTATTGCAGTTGTTAACATGACTCTTTGCGGGTAAAGGAAATAGTTTTGTTTAGCTGTGACATTGGCTTTCTGGAAAGCATGTAATCAGTTTTACTTCAAGTTATGTTAGGGGCTTTTTGTCTAACCTAAACTTCCCTTGCTGCAATTTGAGACTGTTGCTCCTTGTTCTGTCATCTGCCACCCCTGAGAACAGTCTAGCTCCATCCTCTTGGGAGTTACCATTCAGATAGTTGAAGGCTGCTATTAAATCCCCTCCTCAGTCTTCTCTTCTCCGGACTAAATAAGCTCGGTACCCTCAGCCTCTCCTCAGAAGTCATGTGTACCAGGCCTTGAACCATTTCCATTGCCTTCCACTGGATTCTCTCCAATTCATCCACATCCTTTCTGTAGTGGGGGACCCAAAACTGGACGCAGTAGTCCAGATGTGGCCTCACCATTGCTGAATAGAAGGAAATAATCACTTCCCTCGATCTGCTTACTAATGGATCCCAGTATGCTGTTAGCCTTCTTGGGAACAAGGGCAGACTGTTGGCTTATATTCAGCTTTATTGTCCACTGTAACCCCCAGGTCCTTTTCTGCAGAGCTGCTCTTTAGCTAGTCGGTCCCCAGCCTGTACTGGTGCATGGGATTGTTCCATCCTCAGTGCAGGACTTTGCACTTGTTCCTATTGAACCTCATGAGATTTCTTTTGGTCCAATCCTCCAATTTGTTGAGGTCACTGAACCCTAGCTCTACCCTCCATCATATCTACTACTCTCCCCAGTTTGGTGTCATCTGCATACTTGCTGAGGGTGCACTCCATGCCATCTTCCAGGTCAGTGATGAAAATATTGAGCAAAACCAGCCCCAGGACTAAGCCCTGTGCAACTCCACTTGATACCGACTGCCAACTAGACATTGAGCCCCATTGACTTGACTTCAGTGTAGTGTTTTTGCTTCTATATTTCTTTCTGGTTGCATGTCTTTGTATATTCTATAAACATCTTGCTGAAAGGAAACTAGCTGGAAAGATGTTTCTTAATAGATGTTTCAAGAAAGCAGAATAGCGTGTATCCCTAACATATTGAAATAGTCTTTATGGAACAACAACATTTTATGTACATTTACTTGTTGAATAGGTGAATGTTAAAAGCCCTAAGGGTCAAAAGTTATGGTGAGAAGGGGATTTGCATTCATTCAGAAGTCATCTGTTGTTGTATATCTTCCTACTTTGTCATAATAGTTTCATTATTCTCCAGCAAGCTACAAAAATGTCCTCTAGCCATGAATACCTTCAGTGTTACAGGCTTCGTAGAAGCCAACTTTGTCACTTGCTGTATTGTCTTAACTTTCACAGCACATTTTTCCTTTAGAAGATTTTTCTTTTGAGTTTGCCGTAGAATCTGTTAAACACATTTTTCTGTTTAACTTACGAAAAGAAATCATAATTGCCTTTTCTGTTTCCATAAATATAGGATGTCTGTCCTGAGTTTTTTATTTTTTCCACAGTGAACAAGCTAGAGTCTTCTTTTGTAATATGGCCTATTTTCTATTATCATTCTCATCATTATTTATATCATTGTAGCCCTTATGTCCTAGTCATGGACTGGGACTCCATCATGCTTCCTGTATATTTGCTTCTCCCCTTTATTTCTTAAGTGTGCTGCTGATTCTGAAACGTGGTGTCAAAAATAGAACTCATGCAACCAGAAGAGACCTGAATAATGGCAAGTACAGGAAATAAATACCTGACTTGTTTTATATGAAGCTCTGGTTTTGGGTTGAGTTTTTTTGTGGGGTGGGGAGGGTTGCAAGAAGCATAACTTGCTTGTTACTTCATTTGTTATCCAGTAATAACCTCTATTCTTCCTGCTTTGCCAGTTATTCCTTCATTGCATGCCAGTCTGATAATTCTTTGAGCCATGTTATATATATTCTCCTAGTTGTGTGTTTTACAATAGCTGCATCCAATCCAAGTGCCTCATTTTTTCAAATGTCAAGTAGAAAGACATAAAAATCCAGGCTTACCATTTCCATTGTTTACTATTTCAAGTAAATTTGAAAGAAACATTCTTGAGTGTACTTCTTTTTAAGTGATCCATGTTGTAAATGTGTAACATGTCTCACAAAGACACTCTCCTGGACCCAGAGGAACACACTTCCACCTTCAACTTCCTCTATGCAACAATGAAGTTTATTTTCTACCTATAGGGACTTTTTACCATCTTTAATTTTTCCTGAGGAAGGGTGTGTGCGCCCAAAAGCTTGCAGAAAAAGATTATTTTTTTTGCAATTTCTTAGTTGGTCTAATAAAAGGTATCGTCTCTAAACCAAGACTTCTAGAGTTTTGCATACCATTTGTTTTATGCTTATTCTAGGTAGGTAAGCATCAACTGCTTTTTTAAGTTTAGTTATTGGCCATGTAATAAAGCTTTATTTGCTGATTTATAATTGTAGCACTTTTTACTTTATTCAAAATAGGCATGTTTGTCCTGTACTGGTAATCCTTGTCTTCCTGTTATCTGGAAATTCACAAAGATGATTATAAGTGGTTCAGATTAGTTTCTTCTGGTCGGTTTTAAAAATTCATTTGCCTTTAGTGTTCAGGAAACATTCTTAGTCTGGAGATCTAACCAAGCAGTTTGTAAAGAATTCATTTTAGAAGCAAATTTGTAACCTGAATGGAAACCAATGTAGTGTAATCCTCAGTCTGCAGGCTGTAGCTCAATTGCTTCTACTACTGCTTGATTTCTGAGAACAAGATGCAGTTGACAGAGCTCTAATCAGTTTTATTGCTGCTATAAAGAACCCTGTGAACAGAGATGAAATTGTCAGGAATCATCCAGCTGGAAAAGCCAATGTACAGTAGCAAAAGCAAGCGCAAAAACTTACAGACCCTAAAATGGAGCCAGGGAAAGGGTTAATGGAAGAAAGATATTGTTCCCCACTTCTCTTCCTTTTCTTTCCCAACAGTAGTTAAGAGCCTCCAGAACAGTGGTTCTTGGGTTATTTTAGACTTGAGGCACCCCTAACAAACTTCTAGCTCTTACTAGTTACTCTGTTTTGACTACAGAGAATTAATATAAAGTAGTTTTTCTGATGCATTGAACTCAAAGACAGCAACGGGTCAGAAAGTTTTTGACATCATGGATTCCGATATGAAATGTCTGGGTTTATCTTGTGAATCATGTTTGCACATCTAACAGTGATAATACACAACAGTGTTGTGTGGCACCCTGGTTGAAAATCACTCCTCTGAAATGTGTAGACACTATCCTTTTCTGCCGCCAGAAACCTGAGAACCTTGCAGATGAGAGAACACTTTCTTTCAGAAGCTGGACAAGGAAACAACTTCATCTTTCATATCACCCTATGACTGATAATATGTACAGAAACAGGCACAGAAACAGAGGGCTTTGTCATTGGACTTTATAGATTTCATAGAATTAGGGCTGGAAGGGACCTCGGAAGATCGAGTCCAGCCCCCTGCCGGCATTTCTGGCTCCAGAAAAGGATAGTGTCTACACATTCTAGAGTAGTGATTAGTAGTTTAATTAAACTATTAAACTTTAGTAGTGGAGTGTCACCTTTCATCTGCCCCTAGGTATTGGGTAAGAACCTGCCCCTAAGAAGTATTTGCCAATTTTTTTTTTTTTAAGTCTTCAGATAGTTCCCTTAGACACTTTTAAGCAGAAATTGGGACCAGAGCAAATGCAATTTTAGCATAGGTTATTTCGGTATTTCTCAGTCCCACTCCCTTCAGACCTGACTCTGTTCTGACTCCTTCCATACGTTGTCATCATCCACTGGGTTCTGATGCTTGATAATTACTTTGCTTTGAGATTTCACAACAAAGTAATATCTTTCCAACCTCTTGCCATAGTATTTGTTTTTTCTATTTATTAAGCAATGGATTTAAACTTACTGTTAACATTCTGTTATTTCTTACATTTTATACTTGTTGCTTTTCTTCTTTTTATCTGTTGTTCATAATATCTAATGTGTCTCTTCCTTTCAGACATTGCCCCTACATGTCGTTGCTATTCTCTTGCATTCATCCCTACAGGGGAACCTCTTAGGCATTAAATTAGAGTTTTTGCTTTTTGTCAAATATATCAAAATGTCTTATTCCTTTATGTTGAGGCCAAGTCTTTCGAAGTTTTGGAAGGATTATAGGCAGATAGTAACATTGCTTATAAGGGATAATAGTCTAAAGATTGTTTGTTCTAGACTGGAAATCCAGCTTGAGCTTTGAGTAATAGTCTAATTTGCCCTAAATTACAGAAGCAAAAAGTAAAAGCAAAGAAAGCATTTAAATTAAATACCACTTTGATGACATAAATATGAAACATTTAAGATTTAAAGAAGTAAACTCTGCTTCTCTTTGGTTGTCCAAACAATATAAATTTGCAGAAACAGAAATAAAGGAGGTAGGAAAACATTCCCATTAAATTCTTCATATTTATATATGCAAATATCCTATTAAATTCTTTGTATTTATATATGCAAATTACTCTTTCCAAAAGTGGTATTTTGATTAAATAAAATTCCACTTACGTAGAATTAAGAGATATCTATCCGTGTTAAATTTGCTAAAAAACATGTTCACATGGATATCTTTATTTTAGTTAAGCATCAATAGACACCGATTCCCCTCTTACACCTATTTTCTCTGTCTGCTGTGTGATAGTAAATGTATTAAAGCATCATGGATCACTGCTGAAATATATTTTGAGCCTGAAAGATGTGAAAGTCAAGCACGTGGAACTGTTTCTTATACTACCTTTGGCTAGAGAAGATTAACTCAGAATAATGGGATATAAATCACTAGTTTTATTGACTGAACCTGCAAGGTGCAGAGCCATCTCTGCTTCTAAAGTTTTGAAGTGAAAAATAATTCCTGCACATTAGAATAGGCAAAGAATTGTGGTAATAGACTCGAATTGGAACTTGGCCAGGATAGCAGGGTTAATGCTTCTGAAAGCTGTAGCTTGGGTAATGAGGGTAGAGAACCACTGCAGAGACCCTTCGTTGGCTGCTGTCTGGAATGATTTTGAAAGGCACTAGTCTGGTAAGTATGATAAACTGAAGAGAGATTGTTGCAGAAAATTCTAGCTCATTTTACATGAGCATTATTGATCTTTAGTTTGCTAGTACTAATTACAAAGTTGAAGCAAAGCTATTCAAGGTTTTTATAACTAGTTAAACTGTTGAATTGGTGGAAGTCACTGCATGCAAGATTTCTTGAAATTCTGTCTTTTTTTTATTTAAGTACATTTAGTTTCTCTTAGATGAAGAATTTGTTAGTGTGTATCCTTCAAATGTTTATAATCAGATTATAAACAGGGCACTCAATTAAACAGAAATATTGCAGTTTGGAGAATGGCAGCATTTGGCCTTCTGTCCAAGCTTTAGCATCTTTTTACAATTTTATATTTCATGTTAAATCACATAAGTTAGAGCAGCCAGGCAACATTTTGCTTCTGTATCTTTACTTTTCATTTTCTCATACATTGTCTGGATAGATAAGGATTGTGTTTTCTTTGGGAACCTGTTCCACAAAGCAATAGAACAAGTATACCAGAATTTAACACTGTTTTCCTTTATTGTCGTCCAGTTATTCTAGTTACTCCCACAGGTATTCATAGATGTTAGGGTCAGAAGGGACCTCAGTAGGTCATTGAGTTCAACCGCTGCCCTGGGCAGGAAAGAGCACTGGGGTCAGACAACCCCAGCTAGGTGCTTATCCAGTTCCCTCTTGAAGACCCCCAACAAAGGGGAGAGCACCACCTCTCTTGGAAGCCCATTCCAGATTCGGGCAATCCTTGCTGTGAAGAAGTTCTTTCTAATGTCCAACCTAAATCTACTCTGTCAATTTGTAGCTGTTGTTCCTAGTTACTCCAGGGTATGCCCTAGTAAATAGAGCATCTCCTATTCCCTGCTGCCCTCCCCTGATGAATTTATAGGCAGCCATAAGATTACCTCTCAGCCTTCTCTTGCAACGGCTGAAGAGATGTAGGTCCCTCAGTTTCTCCTCGTAGGGCTTTGCCTGCAGGCTTCTGACCATATGAGTGGCCCTCCTGAACCCTCTCAAGATACTCCACACCTCTCTCGAAGTGCAGTGCCCAAAACTGGACGCAGTACTCCAACTGCGACCTGGCCAGTGCTGCATAGAGGGGGAGCATCACCTCCCTGGACCTGTTTGTCATGCATCTGCTAATGCATGATAAATTCTGGTTAACCTTGTTGATCACTTCGTCACATTGGCGACTCACGTTCATCTTGGAGTCAACTATGATTCTAAGATCCCTTTCTTCTGCTGAGAAGGTCATTCCCCAGCCTGTAAATGTGTTGATGATTCTTTTGCCCAGGTGCAGCACTTTGCATTTGTTTTTGTTGAACTGCATCCTATTTTGTTCAGGCCATTTTTCCAACCTGTCCAGATCTGTTCCTTACCCTCTGGTGTATTAACTTTGCCCCATAATTTGGTAACATCTGCAAACTTGGACCGTGGAGTCATCTACATCACAGCAGCCTGTCAGTTTATTTAGGAGAATAGAGTATTGTTACTCTTGTAGTATGTAATATTTTTTTACCATTCTAAGCATGTACATACTTTGTTTATTTGACGACTGTCTTTGAGCTCCTTCCTTTTGGGTGTTATGTATTTAGATCTTTTAACCTCCCAAATTGGTCCTTCAGTTTACTAATGATTTTTGTTCTTTTTCCAGACTCCCTCCCCTTTTTGTTTGTATGGCTAATCTAATCAATTTTGTCCCTCTGATCTAGCTGTTGTTGTCACTGCCTGAGCACTTCACAAATGTTAATAAATTGTCCCTCCCAATGCTATGTCACACCTTAGAAGTGTGAGCTTCATTTTACACACTATGAATTTGAGGCACAGGATAATTTAGTTTAAAATCACTGACAAAACCTGTGACTGGGTCAGGACATAAACTAGATCAGTGAGGCTCAACCATTTTAGAGCAGCTGGCCAAGTGCTTGCCATCCAGCTGCAAGATGCGGTACCAATCCCCTCTGTAGATTGGGGGGGAGGGAAGGGAAGAGGGAAACAGCTGACCTCTGGTAAACAGTACTTGCCATAGAAGAGAGAGAGAGTAAGCAAGGAGTGCCTGCTGGAGGGGAGGGAAAAGGGAGAGAGCAGGCAGTGTTGCAGAGAGGACCTGTGAAGGGTGCAGGGCAGGGAATGGACATGCTGTGCTGAGCTGCTCACCAATTAATCCCCTGTGTCATGGGCCAGATCCAGTCCCTTCAGGGGCTGGATCCAGCCCACAGGCTATAGGTTGAACACCACTGAATTAGATCATCTGCCTTCAGTTCATTTATTTGATCACAAGACATTTTATCTATTTTTTTTATTGTTCCACCCCCAAATGAAGGTAGTCTGTTGTCTACCTGCTTTTTGAAGCAGTGGTTCTTCCTACTCTGCCCAAAACTGTATTAACCTCTTTATGACCCTATCCTGTGATAATGTATTGTCTAATTTGCTTTCTATTGCACCTTTTTTCTTAATAAAGCATTCTAAATATATGTCTGTATAGATCTATACTTTACAGTTATTTTTCTAAGGTGTTTCTTATTTCAATGCCTGCTCATACTAAATCCCTTTGGTTTTCTAATATAATTTCTTCAGTGTTCTCAAGGCTTCCCAACTTGGTATAATAAGTGAATTCAGTTAGTATGCCACTTACTTCCCCTTTAAGCTCATTAATGAAGATGTTAAATGAATCTAGCACCGATCCCTGAAGCTGCATTTGACATGCCCCTCTATACACAAGCATACTCTATGTACAATTGTTTATTGCTCTTTTTGCCATAACATGGTTTTAATCTATGTGACTTGTTCATATAAAGCCAAAATAAAGTTGTTCTTGAATAGGCCACAGTGTTGTTCAGACCATCAATCCTACTGTGTTAATTGCATAGATGTACATCGCATGATTGTTGGAAGGTATTGAACTCTTCAGTTTATTTGTTTTTTGTGAAAATAATTAGTAAAAATGATTAGTAGAGTTAATTAGTTTAAAAAAAAAATTTTACATTGTTCTGGAGAACCAAAACTACAGGTAGGTAGTGGTCCTTACAATAAACAGCAGGTTGTTTTGGAGCACTATTTTATTATAAAGCAAATCTGTGAGCAGGATAAAGTGTTTATTGTTCATTTAATTCCGTGCATTTTCATAAGTACTAATTGAGCTAAATGCTTTTGTAGGCTGTTTACATGATGCCCACAGAAGGCGATGACTCATCCAAAAGTGTTCCTTTAGCATTGCAAAGAGTGTTCTATGAACTTCAGCACAGTGACAAACCAGTAGGAACTAAAAAGCTAACAAAGTCCTTTGGGTATGTATCAGAAATTTTAAAATACGTTGTTAGGATGTGGCAGGGCTCTTCCCAAAAGTTCTGTATCATAATGTTTAAAGAAGTGCTTTATTTAAATGTAAGGAAAACTTCTTGTTAGAAAAGTAGAAGTTTCCATTGTTATGCTTCTGTTGTGAATGGTCTTTTTTATCATATTTCCTTTGAGTATAACTGAATATAATTCAGTAATGAGGTCAGCTGACTCGTAGATTGAATGGGAGGTTATTTTATTGAAACCATTGGCCACATACAATAAGAGAGATCTGAACTTTAAATTTATTTGTAATTGTATGATTTGTTTAGCTAAACAATACTGAGATGTGGTTGTACATTTAAATAATGAAAAGGCACATAGAAAAATTAAATGGTACCATTTTAATCTATTCTTACATAAAACAAAAAAATAGTAATTTAACTTTCTGTATCTTTATTTGCTATGCAGTGATGGCCATTGTAAAACATTTTAATTGTGGCTAAGATTAGATTTTTAACGTGTGGATCATATCTGTACTACCAACATCTAATATGCTCTTTTGCCCCTGTTTTTATCCTATTTAACAATTTAAAATGTATTTTTTATATTCCTTCTTTCTAGTTACTGTTCTTTTCCTTTACAAAAACCATGACACTCATCTTTGATTTTTCCGCCTCTGCCTTTTATGCAAAAGTCGAGATAGAAGCTTGAGCATTTACTCTGTCACTATATGCTTGTCTGTTCACATCGTACTTATTTTTTTTTCTCAGTGTATGTTTGGATTATATTTTTAATTATGCTAAGAAATAATAACAAATGTCTTTGTTGCATTGTATTTACCAACTAGCTTTTTGCATTATTGCTTTCTAAATCGGCTATTAAAATAGATACATTTGTGGGTTTTAGAATAGGTTCAGACATTTGTGTGATCTTTTGCATGTAGCTGCAGTCATGCTCTGGGTTTCCATCCTATTTTAACCACATGAAACATTCTTGCAGGAAACTGAGGTCTCTGACCACACACTTTCCCCTGAAGCAGATCAGAACTCTGGGTTTCTCTCACTTAATGTGAATCTGAATCTTAACTTCCATCTAGTCTGTCACGAGCACAGGAAAATGATACATAAATTGTTGCTCTTCTAGAATTCTGTTAACTAGATGTTATGTTAATCAGAATCTCTGTTTTTGTACATGAATCAATATTTTAAATGACAATTTCAAAAAAGATCAGAAGGATTTAAATAGGTTCTTGTATCCTTTAAAAGGAATTGTTCAAAAAAAATTATTGTTAATATAGAAATTTCTGTCACTTGATATTCACCCCTGGGCCTTTTGACTAATTCAACGCTAACAGTACATGAATTTGTTCATGAGGACTTGCCATTTGCTTGTAATTGGTTTTTTTTTGTCGTTGTATAGAAAAGTCTCTTGAATATGTGTGAGTAAAAATACAGGTATAATGTATTTAAAATCCTAGTTAGACATGAATGTTTAAATAGTACCTTGTTCACTCCTGAGATGTAAGATTCCTATAAAAAAAAAACAAAAAACAAAAAAAAACAACAACAAAAAAACAAAAACCTTCCACGTTGCAACTTTACTTCTGATGATAAACCTTTGCTTTCGTGTAATTTGTTGTTTAGTGCCGCATGAAAAGTACCCAGATGGATCTGGATTACTGTATCAGTGTGGTTTTTTTGTTTTTTTTTTCTTCACTGTTCTTCATAAAACAGTGAAGTTTGTCGTGGCGTTATATGGCTTTCTCCTTTTTGGTAATATAATAGCAGGATTTTTTGCTGGTTATGCTGGAAGTAATTTAAGAATAGATATTTATTAGTCTATACAAGGAGCCTGCCAGGAAGAACACCTGCTACCTAAATCCTTAACTTGGATTTTTGCAGCAGAATGGACTGAGGTACCTTGGGCCAGGGAAAGCTTGTTACAGAGACACCTACTTTTTCTTAGTTACCTTCTTGGTTTTTTTGAGCCAAGGTGGATAAAAATCAATTATTTATTTTTTTTAATTGAATTTTTTATTTAAATCAGATTTTTTTTTTAAGATGCTTTTCTTGAAAAACAAAAATAAACCTATATAAAGATGGTTTTAATTTAAGATGCATTAAAGCTCAAATATATCATCATGGAATAGGGATTATAACCTCTAATTGTATACTATTTGAGACATTATATTCATGTAACCATTTTTAGAAGTTTTATAAATAGGTCACAACAGGCCATGGACTATATTAGGGGCCCAATCTTATGGGGTTCCCAGAGTCTCCCCTATAGATTAGTAAAGATTAAAGAAAATCACTCTACCTACTGGGTGTCAGTGCTCAGTCTAGAAGATCCCATTAAGCATCTCTGTGATGCTTAGTTTCAGTTCTCAACCTGGAGTTGTTTCCAGAGATAATGTCCTTGTTAACAGCAGTATATGGAGACGAGAGAGAACAGACTTGTTTACCTACCCATCAGTCCTCTTGTCACTCTGCAACTTTGTGTACAGAGTCAAGCCCTTGCCTCTCTCTAAAAGTACGGAGTTTCAAGAAGCTAAATGAATAAAGGATATCAAACGACAGGAATGCACTTTTTATACAAAACTAGGATGAAACTGAGGCTTCCCAACCAATGATTTAAATGATGATTGAAATTGATTTGATTTAAATCAAATCCACCTTTGTTTTGAGCCATGATTTGCTCCTTCTGTTTTGTTACTTGACCCAGTATATTAGTCCTTCTTATCCCCTCTGGTCCAGTATGTACTTAAGAGAATATGTGTGTAGATTAGGGGCAGAGGGCTACTTACCAAGTTTTGGCAAACTGTCGAGGGCCTCGCCCCTGACAGGTGCCCCACCCCCTGGTCACCATCTTGGGACCACAAGTCCTGCCCCCTGACCTGTGTCACCAGAAGTCCCTCCCCTTGCCCCTGGAAATACTCCTTTCAGCAAGGGGTTTTGCCATCTTGGAACCAAAAAAATACCAAATTATATTCTAAAAAGTGAACATCTACAACATTCATTAATTTGATTTCAAATAATATTTTTGTCTTGATTTACATGAGTTTGTGTACTATACATAGGGGTGATGGCACAATAGCTTAAACGAAGTCTTACGCTTGTATAGGTAGGTGTTGGGGGGTGGATTTTCAAAAATGCAGCGTTTTGACATAACTACTCCTGTGGTAGCACTACCTTGAAGGCTTCAAAATTCCATTCCTTTAATATTTTTCCTTGCGCAGTATAAAAGAGTATTTATCTGTGAGTGCTGCTTTTCTTCAGAGGAAAATAATCAGCTGCCATTACAAGTTTTTCAGGGGGGGTTTAATGCTATATCCAAATCTTCACCTACCTTGAAACTGGAGACGGTAAAATAAGATGAAGATGTTAAGTATTAAGGGGACTGGTAATTGAACAAAAGAAGCAGCACGTGTCTCCTTTGGTAGAATGAGTTTATATGGAACCCTTGCTGGAAGATTTTTGACACACATTCAGGTTTTTTCGTTACTACATAGCTGCCACTTCCTTTTGAAATAATTATGCAGAATGTCCTCTGACTCTTAATTTATGCTCTTGCTCTATAAATGAATTCTCAAACTATTTTATGTCAAATTTCTTCTCTTTAATAATACAGTTTTTATTATTGTCTTTCTTGCAAAGGTGGGAAACTTTAGACAGCTTCATGCAACATGATGTACAAGAATTATGTCGAGTGGTATGTTTTGCATCATCTCTTATACACAGGATGTTGGTGCATATTATCAATATAAAACATTTAGCTAAATTCTTATAGTACTGATATTGATTTCCCCAAAATTAGGGTAATCCAGGCCTTAGAGTTCCTTCTTGCATTATATTTTCCTCCATAAATATAAAATTCACTTTATTGGACTTGTATTCATTTTGGATGTGGTGCCAGGAGGCATTTTATAAGAAATAAACTCTGCATGTTTCAAAACTTCTATTCTGATGGCATTGCAAAGGTATTTCCTCCAAATAACATTTAAAGGTGACCCAACAAGGATAGATGAAAATGGTGAGAGAGTGTTGGGTGCCTTTCTTTCACTGTTTCTTTTTAAAATTAGAATTGTAAGTTCTTTTTGACTTGAGACTAACTAGCTTTTCTAGTCAAGGGGTTAATGCAAACTAAACAAGTGAGAGTTTTCTTAAGAGTGGAAAGGGATTCATAATCAGACTCTTTAAACCTGTTTGTGAAAGGCTATCTAATTACAGTGAATAGAAGTTCTTGTTTAAAATTATTGCTCATTAAAATATTATTTAATGTGCCTGAAGTGAATTCCTTAGAGCTCTTGGTAGTCCTCTGAGAAATTAGGGAAAACCAGACTACATTCTTGATGTTTCTAAGATTTAGCACCTCAACCCTGTTTAACTTTTCAAACCAGCAGGAAGCAAGCAAAAGCACAATTCTGAGTTTTAAATCTCTTATAGATAACCTTTATGCTACCTATACTTATGCCATCTGTTTGGTTTTCTTTTCAAGAAGGAATAATAATTCTTATTTCACAGACATTAGAATTGGCAGTTGTATGCATTGCAGGTGACTGCATTTGTTGAGAGAAAAAGAATGTTCCAAGTGTACAGAGTATTTGGTGCTGCAGTGATGCCTCCCTAATTTTTTAAAAGCTCTTTAAATATCAGAGAAAATTGCCTGGAAATAATCCCTTAAAAATACTTGGGGAAGAGTATTCTAATGTGATAGAAGCCTTAATCTGTCTGTCCATAATGCTTTATTTGCACTCTGATTGGTTTTCTGAAACAACCAATCAGAGTGCAAGCATTCGGACAGGAGCTGGCGGCCATGCTGCCATGATGGTGCTGAGGCAGCAGCAATCTGAGGCAACAGCGGCGACAGAAGGATGTGGGGGGCAAGGCCCTGGCTCCGGCTGAAGGTGGTGGGGGGATGGAGGGGGAGAACCGATGCAGCCCTGGTCCTGGCCATTAGAGGGGTGGGAGGGACTGGCCCCGGCCCAAAGCGGCGGAGGGGAGGGGGGAAACGGCCCCAGCCCAACCCAACCCAAAGTGGCAGGGGCGGGGAGGGGGAAGCAGCCCCTGCCAGTGGGGGAAAGGAGCAGACTTAGGCCTCTGTCCCCACCTGTCATTCACGGGCAATTTGCTAGTTTAAAAGAATAATAAAGAAGAAAAGCCAGTTTCAGGTGCCTAATATTTTGTGTTCACAAGAGTGGCACAAGAAATAATAAAACACAAAAATTTGATCAATAAATTAAAATGATTTATTAATGCGGTAATGAAATGCATTCAGAACACTATAGAATTTTGGCCTGTATAACTACACATTTATCTTTTTTTTCTTTCAGTTGCTTGATAATGTGGAAAATAAAATGAAAGGCACGTGTGTAGAAGGCACCATCCCTAAATTATTTCGAGGGAAGATGGTGGTATGTATTTAGAGAGCTAATTTTTTTTTTTAAATGAATGATGTTGGTATCCTTTGAAATCCTACTTTTTTTTGTTTGCAGTCTTATATCCAATGCAAACACGTAGACTATCGATCAGAACGAATAGAGGATTATTATGACATCCAGCTAAGTATAAAGGGAAAGAAAAATAGTAAGTAATGCATATTTTTGTACTCGCAGACTAACTTAAATACAGTGGGCCTGAACTTTCATTAGTACTCACTGATTTTAAATGAATTTGTGGGGGCTTGGAAGATCAGGACCTTTGATTTCATAGGCTTTTATACCTAACAAAAAGGTTTTCTTTTTGGAGAGATCTTGCTTGGATTTTTTCCTCCTCCCCACCCCTCCCCATTCCCATGTCCCCTGTCCACCCATTCCCTTTCTCTCTTTATTATTAGGATCATATTGTAAAACTGTCTTTATGTGTTATGAGATTGTGTTTATTGTGATGTCATAATGTTCTGTAATACCCTTTATTAGTAGCTTCTGAAATGCTTCTAATATCGCATAGATTATAAATTAGAAGAATAATCAGCAAGTGCAGGCTAACTTTAAGGAACATGGATTCTTATGTTCAAATGACTATAATAATAAAAACTAAGAGACGAGCTAACCGATTTCAAGCAGTACCTCAATCCTTTTTGATTAGTTACACAAGCAAATAATGGGCATATAAGGGAAGGAAATATGAAGACAATTAAAGAATTATCACAGTAATTTACATGCTAGTTTGATTTAAGAAACAATTATGAATTTAATCTACAAAAGCATAACAACTAGTTGATTTTACATCTGTCAGAGTTTTTTGTCTGTATTTATCCCTTCTATTTGTCCCAAATATAATCCTGTTTATACTCAAAGTTCTTAATAAAGAGATTTATTTACTGTACAGAGGCAAGTGTTCAGTTAAACTCGGGTCAGGAGTAAGATTTTACAGAAGACTCCTAGTTTTCTCTGTGTTGTTTTTGCATAGTTGCCTCTGCCTGTATTAGTAAATGCCTATTTTGTCTTCCTCTTTCTCTTAGTATTTGAGTCCTTCATTGATTATGTTGCAGTAGAACAGCTGGATGGTGATAACAAATATGACGCAGGAGAACATGGTTTGCAGGTACTGTCTTTAGACTTTTATGTTAGGTTTTCTTTCCAGCATCCTTATAAAGAATTTCCAAATGGAGCTAGGTATCTTTCTTAAGATACAGACTTCAGTTTAAACCACAATGCAGCTTATCTTTAGATTGCTCTGAACTAACACCAAAGAAAGGATTGTAATGTTCATTTAAACATACATTTTTCCTTTTCAACTGGATTGGACGTTCATTTTTTAAATTAAATACAAGGGTGAAAGTAAAAATGCCTACGTAAATTACTGACATTTTGCAAGCATAGTGCTACTTTTTGTCAATAATGGCCAAAAAAGTTAAGGAAAAATATATAAGTGCTCTTACAGTGGTAAAGCATTGCAGCCTAACAGTCTGTGGCTTATTCATTACACTCCTGCCATTCCTGGTGGGCTGAAACCAAGTCTTCAGATATTACAGGTCATAGATTGTAAGGGGCTGGAAGGGACCTCGCAAGATCACCAGGTCCAGCCCTCCTGTACTGAGCAGGAAAGACAACAGGGGTCACGTGACCCCAGCGAGGTGACCAGCCAATCTCCTCTTGAAGATTTCCAGTGTAGGTGATTGCACCACCTCTGGAGAGAGTTTATTCCAGTCTGGGCACCCTGACTGTGACACAGTTTTTCCTAGTATTAAGCCTGAAATGATCTTCAGGAGTTGACGGCTCACGTTCATACTATGGTCTATTATTACCCCAAGGTCCTTTTCAGTCGTACTGCTAGTCAGGCGCCATCGAGCCTGTAAGTATGTTGGGGGTTGTTCGTCCCCAGATGGAGCACTTCATGTTTCTCAGTGATGAACTTCATCTGGTTCCGAGACTGGCAAGTTGGGCAGATGTCTAGGTCTGCCTGTATCTGCAGCATATCTTCGAGCATGACCACGCTTCCCCATAACCTGGTGTGGTCTATGAACTTGGCCAGTGAGCTCTTTACCCTCCCATCCAAATCATTGATAGAGATATTGAAAAGCATTGGACCAAGCACGGACCCCTTGGGGACACCACTGCCCACTTCTCACCAGGATGACACAGATCTGTTCATTAGAATTCTCTAGGTCCTACCCCGCAGGCAACTTCCTACCCAGCTGACTGTCAAGCAGTTAAGCCCGCCATCCTCCAATTTTCCCATGAGAACATCAAGGGATACCAGATCAAAGACCTTTTCGAAGTCTAGGTATACAATGTCAACCTCCTCTTTCTTATCCAAGTGGCGAGGTACCTGGTCGTAGCAGGAGATGAGATTAGTAAGACAAGACCTGCGGGCGATGAAGCCATGCTGGCTGTCATTCAGAATCCTATCTTCTGCAAGCATATTGCACAAAGACTCCTTGATGAATTTTTCCAGAATTTTCCCAGGGATAGAAGTTAGGCTAATTGGCCTGTAGTTGCCTGGGTTCTCTCTCCTCCCCTTCTTGGGAGATGGGCACAACAGTGGCCCTCTCCCAGTCTTCAGGGACCTCCCCTGAGCACCACGAGTTTTGGCAGAGTTTCACCAGAGGTCCCACGATGACTTCGACCAGCTCTTTCAGCAGTCACCCGGTCCTGCTGACTTGTAAACGTCTAACTTTCCTAACTGATCATGCGCCAGCTCATCATCAACAGTAAGAAGGTGGTCATTCACACCATGCCCATTCTGAACCTTATCTAGTATGATTTTCCCATTAGTCTGGTGAAATACCAAAGCAAAGTAGTCATTCAGGAGTTCAGTTTTCGCCTGTGTGTTGGTAGCCAGCTGTCCTGAGTTGTTAAGCAATGGTCCCACACTTCCATTTGTATTTCTCCTGTTCCCTACATACCTAAAGAAGGACTTCTTATTGTCCTTAATTTCTGTTGCTAGTTTAAATTCAGTCTTCGCCTTAGCCTTTCTGATCTGCTCCCTACAAGTGTGGGCTGTTGTTGTATAGTCCTCCTTGGGGGCTGTCCCAAGCTTCCATTGTTTGTATGCCTCTCTTCTTTTTCAAGAGGACCATGATATCCCTATTAAGCCAAGAGGGCTTACCAGCCCTTCTGCCACCTTTCCTGTGCAGGGGAATGGACTTCTTTTGTGCTTCAAGGATTGTGTCCTTGAGGAATGACCACTCTTTGTGCACTTATTTCACCTTTGGTCCCTGGTCCCACAGAGTTTCCCCTACTATTGCCCTGACTGAGCCTGTTGAAATTTGCTTTTTTGAAGTCTAAAACTTCAACCCCGTTAGCTGATTTTCCTGCCTTGTGATGGATAGTAAATGTGATAGTTTCATGGTCACTGTTGCCCACACTACCCTCTATATTCAAGTTGCTCACCAGATGGTAAGCCTTGGTCTCCTTTGGCTAAAACCAAGTCTAGGAGAACATTACTTTTGGTTGGCCCATGCACTTCCTGAGTCAGATAGACCTCTTCAATACAGATCAGGAAGCAACATGACCAATCTGACTCAGCGAAGTGTTCCTCCCAAGAGATGTCTGGGTAATTGAAGTCACCTGTGATGACCATGTCCCATATGTGCACGACCTTTGCCAGTTCTCGAGAGAACTCCAGATCGAGCTCCTCCCCCTGCTTTTGTGGTCTGTAGTATACACCTAGTTAGGTCTCTCGCTGCACCCCCTCCTTACTTCCCCCTCCCCCCCCCCCCCCCGGTAGTTTGACCCAGAGGGTTTCAAGCCACTCTTCTGTGGAGCTGATGTTGGCCTCCAAGGAGGTGTACTGCTCCCACACACAGAGAGCTACACCTCCACCTTTCTTCCCTACTCGGTCCCTTCTGTACAGGGTGTAGCCCTCTATGGCTACATTCTAATCATGTGAGGAGTCCCACCAGGTCTCCGTAATCCCTACTAGATCATAATGCCCACTGAAGAGTAGGAGGGCTAGCTCCTCCTGCTTGTTCCCTACGCTCCTGACATTAGTGTACAGGCATCTGACTCTTCCAGTTGAGACCCTTGATTTCCTGTCATGATGAGGGAGCCAAGTTCTTGCTGACTTTTCCATTTTCCCTGCTAAGTAAGGTCTCTTAGGGGTCATGAATTCATCTGAATTATCTTAAGCTGCTAGCCCCAGTGAGTAAAAGGAAAAGCTACTTTGTAAGGAGAGCCTCTTTTAACTCAGTAGTCTTCAGCCACAACTGGATCAGTCTTCTTGAATTTGTTTCATTCATAGACAGTTTGATCATTAATTCTTAGTCCATTGCAGTATTGCAACAAATGCACCTTATTTGTGACTGGTTTTAAATTAATTGGCTTAAAGTGCTATTATAGTAGGAGGCTTGGAAATGATGGTAGCAGCAGCAAGACAAGCATGGAAAAAACAATATAATATCCTTCTTGTCGCTTTCAATCCACTGCGTAGTGTGGACAAAAATCCATAAAGTATAATTAAGTCAGGCAAAAACCTTCAGTTAAAAATTGGATAGATAAAGTTAATGTTGGACTACTTGTTGTTTTTTTTCCAAATTACAGGAGGCAGAAAAGGGTGTGAAGTTCCTGACATTACCTCCAGTGTTACATCTACAACTTATGAGATTTATGTATGACCCTCAAACTGACCAAAATATTAAGATAAATGATAGGTAACACTTTTTAATTTTTTTTGATTCTCCTTTTCTGAAAGTGTGAATTTTTTGAAAGTTTCTAAAAGTCTGGTTTCAGGGTTTCCTATTGACTGCATCCAAGGGAAGGGCATGAAGGTACATGGTGCTGGTGGTTCTTGGAAAATAATGTTGATTTGCTACACTGATTTTTAGTGTTCTGATTTGATAAATTCTGATTTAAGTATTCATTTGTAACCATTTACTGAAATATGACATAAGTGACCAGTTCAATTGGGTTTTTTTTGTTTTTCAGTGCTGCCCACTATATTTTGAACCTTCCTTATACCACCAAGTTGTGATATTCTAGTTATAATTTTGGTTTTAAAACTTAACAGATTGCTAGAGTAACAACAAATAGGGCTGCTATCCTCATTCTTTCCCCCCCCTCACTCCTTGTGCTCCCCAACCTCACCAGTGGACTGTGTCTGTATAAGTAGATATGAACTGGAAAAACTCTTTTGTGACTTTGTGGACCTGGGTTTAATATGAGTCAGGTATACTTTCTTTATTCAGTGATTTCTGGGCATTTCAGCTTCATTGTTTGAAATGGATTTGCAGTATGTACCCAGTTTTTCAGCATAAATTAAGAAGGAAATTGAGTTTAATTAGAAAATGTGTGCTGTTGTCTGTTTTAAAAATGGCAATATAATTCCAGTCTAAAGTGGGAGAACCATAGTCAATAGCTGCAAACTTTTAGCAATCCCATGTTAGAGGGGTAGAGGCAGGATTGGGATTGGGTTAGTCTGATGTTGTTTGCATTTAAAATGTAAAAGTAATTTCATGATTAATTTGAAATTATTCTGGTTTTACTCTCTGCAAATAACACTGAAGTTGGCCCTGAGTGTACATAAATACTTCTAATATATGTAAAACATTCTTTTTTGCTGTTCCTTTAAAATTAAAGTAGCACTATAATCGTGAGTTGTTCAGTTGATTTAGCTTTCATTAAGGCTAAGTACAGACAGTCAAAGCCTGAGTCTGAATCAGTTCAATCTTCACAGGTTAGTCTAAATTGCATAGATTGAACCGATAAGCAGGTAACCAGACATTCACTTTTGATTCCAGAAATACAGCCAAATGTCTGCAGTGGCTCAGACCAGAAGCCAGGAGGCACTAGAGCATGCCTCCCTGGTTGGCTGGAGCAGGCAGCTTGGGCCCAAGCTAGCCCACCCACCCGGCGAGGTGGGGTTTGCAGGGAGGGACATAGCATGCGGGGGGGGCTGTGTTTCAACTTGAATCTGGAGGAGATTTTGGACAGATGTTCAATAAACCAATTTAACCTAAATCAGTTAAGTCTGATACAGCGGCCATCCAAGTTTATCTTAAACCGGTTTTAGGCATTTTGAAAACAGTTTATGCACACTCAGCTTCTGTTGTATTACAGATTTCAGCTGGTGTCTTATCAATTGTATTGGTTTGTACATAATTCTGTCCCTAGCCTAAATAAATTTACTGAAAAGTGTAAATGCACTTCACCATAAAAGTATTATTCTGTATTAACTACAGTGAACTTTTTTTAAAAATTAGGTTTGAATTTCCTGAGCAGTTGCCACTGGATGAATTTTTGCAAAAAACCGACCCTAAGGATCCTGCAAATTACATCCTTCATGCAGTACTAGTGCACAGTGGAGATAACCACGGTGGACATTATGTTGTTTACTTAAATCCTAAAGGGGATGGCAAAGTAAGTATTGAAAGAGCAATGGGTCTTCTTTGGTGACTTGTAGAGGGAGCTTTTGAGGTGCTTGAAAGTTCTTTAGTGGATCATCTCTAAAAACCTGAAACTGAGATATCCATCTGATGTATACATACATCCTAGGAACTTTTTCATTTCTTAAGAGTGGAGATAATATGTTCTTTGGAGGGGAATAAATAAATTTATTTTTAATACTTTCTGAGAAGAGATTAAGTTGTTTCTCACCCTGCTTCTGAACGCTTGGGAAATGTTTTGTTGTTGTTTTGTAGTTATTTGTATCTTTTGCTCTCTAGACTGAAATTGAGATTTGGAAATGCTGGGGTTACTTGCTTTTTTAAGAAGAGCAGGTTCACATTTATCTGTTCTTGACTTGTGGCCAAAGACTTTTTGGGAAATTATCTAGTAACATACATGCATAGTAGGGCTTCAACAGAAAATATTAGTCTATGCAGCAGGGGAAGGTTGCCCAGAATCTTTCTGGATGTCTTTACTTGCCTGAAATGCATGTATTCAAATTTTTATTGTTTTTGAAAAAATTATTTTGGTTCCTTTGGATGTTCTCAATAGCATGGGATGCACTATTTTGATGGTTTGATATGAAGTTCATAGGCGAAGTATGTTTTCTTTTAAGATTTCTACTCTATATTTGCACATAAATAGTTTGAGTAGTTGTTTGTTTTTAGAAGTAAAAACATATTTTTGTGTATTTGCTGATCTCTGTATTTTCCCTTTTATTTTCACAACAGATAATTTACAAGTGAAGATGAAATTTTGAGATATTTTATTTCATTGTTGTCAAAGTATGGTGAAATTTTATAAGTAGCAATGGGACACTTTGCACCACTTGTTTTTATTTCCTTTTACAAAATAAATTGGCATCAGGGATTTCATGGTAGTAATGAAGTATAATTTGATAGCAGAACATAGAAGAGCAAGGCTGGAAGGGACCTCAGGAAGTCCCCTTGCCCAAAACAGGATCATTCTTCCCTAAACCAACCTGCCCTCAGTAGCCTCTTCCAATGCCTGACCATCTTTATAAGAAAGTTCTTCCTAATATCTAACCTAAATTCCCCATATTGTAATTTAAGACCATTGTTTTTGTCCTGACTTCTGCAGCCACAGAGGCTAGGGACAGACATTCAAAAAACCTGAGCCCAAATTGATTCAATCTTTGCAGGTTAGTCTAACCTGGGTAGGCTGAACTGGTTTGTAACCATACATGCATTCCCTCTGGACTGAGAAAATAGAGGCACATGCTTGCACTGGCTCAGGCTAGAAGCCAGAGGCACTAGAGCAACCCTCCCTTCCTTTCCACATGGCTGAGCTGAGGGAGGGGTGGGGAGAGGGGCATGGCCAGGCCCAAACAGGATCCTCTGATTAGAGAGGGGTTCCTCCTCCCCCACCTTGCTGCTTCTGACCAGCCCAGCAGGGAGTTGATAACAGAGCATTTAGCACCCCATCAAGAAAACAAAAGTTTCATTAGTTCAAGCTTTCCTTAAACAACTTTTTCCAAGGCAGAAAAGGAGGGACATTACCAGCTGACCTGTTGATTAGCTCCAAAAACCTTAAGCGGACTGTCCTGTCTGCTTTTGTCCTATTTGCTTTACACAGACACCTCTCAGCGTTAGCTACTATACCACATGCTGGCTATGGTCCCTTCTGTGGGAGGGGGGGAATCCCTGCTTGAGCAGGGATTGGTGAGGGGGCACAGGGAAGCCAGGCAGATGCTGCTGTGCTGCCTGTCTCTGCTGGAGCTCCAGCTAGGGAGCAGAGGGGCAGGGCTGGGGGACTCTGATTTAAGTTAAACCAGGAAGTGGTCTGGGACAGATATTGCATAAACCAGTTTGAGCCAAATCAGTTTTGTCTGATATTACATTCAACCAGGTTTATCTCAAACCAGTTTCAGCCATTTTCAAACTGGTTTATGTGCACTGAACATCTGTTTTGTTACAGGTTTAAACTAGTTTGTGATCACTTAAACCGGTTTATGGGTAATGTCTGTCCCTAGCCAGAGAGTAGTATCTCTGTTCTCTGTATAAGTCTTCAAATACCTGAAGGGTGGTTATCTGTTATTTTAATAGATTAAGGCAAATACTTTGAATAATTGAGTAGGGATTTTTGGTTTTTAACATAAAACACGCTCAAATATCTTATCAGTAAACCTTCAAAGATGTATTCTGAGTGAAAATAGAAAGTAGTGACCATTATCCTGACTTCGCTTGGATACTTAAAAAAATTCTGTCTCTGAAGAAAAAGCCATGTTCCAGTTGCTTAAAAAAACTAGAAAGAATCCTAGTCCTGGCATAGAATAAATCTGTTAAATTTGAGAACCAGTTGAACAATTTTTATATTAAAATATTCATTTTTCCCCAGTGGTGTAAATTTGATGATGATGTTGTATCACGATGTACAAAAGAAGAAGCAATCGAACACAATTATGGTGGTCATGATGATGACTTATCCGTGCGGCACTGTACTAATGCTTACATGTTGGTTTACATCAGGGAATCAAAATTAAGTAAGTACGCAGCAGTGTGTATGTGTGTCGATTCAGATAATGAAATGAGGTGATGCAGAATATGAACTCTCGTTGTCACCCTAAATTGTCATACTTTTGCCATATGTTGGAACTTCAGAAACTGTGGAACTTCAGAAACTGCATGAGGAGGTTGAGCTGTCTCCCATCTCCAAAATTCCATGTTTTTAGTTGGCATAATATTGTCTTAAATATACAATGTATGACAAACTTTCTTTGGAGTTGCTTTCACGAATCATAGAAAATTAGGTTCAGAAGGGAGCCGAGGAGGTCATCTAGTTCAATCCCTTACTCCAAACAGGACCATCCCCAGCTATATCATCCCAGCCAGGGCTTTGTCTACCCTGCTTTCTACTAGCCGGGGCTGTGCTATGAATAGAAGGACTGTGTCCACATTATTTTTAAACAACTAAGCCTCAGTGACAAGATCTGTTTCGTATGTATCTCAAGATTGAATGTCATTAACTATCAAATAGGCAATGTTTTTAATTAAAAGACGGGTGGGGGGGAGCCCGTCTCTGGCATAGTGTTGCCCCAGGAACAGTCATAAGTATATATGGAAATATTGTTGGATTCTTTTAAATGATATCACAAAATTGACTGTCTTTTGGAGGTGAAGTTTTGCAACCTGTCACAGACCATGATATTCCTCAACAACTAGTAGAACGGCTACAAGAAGAAAAGAGAATAGAGGCTCAGAAAAGGAAGGAGAGGCAGGAAGCTCACCTCTACATGCAAGTGCAGGTCAGCTTCCAAACTAACTTCCACTTTGAAATTTGAAATTTAGTATTATTTTGAAAAAATTAGAAGTCTAGAAACCAGGTATATTATAAACATAGACATGGTTTGGTGCAGTCTTCCCATCTGCTTGCAAGTATATTTACTCCTATCCTTGGGTATTTGGGGGGGGGGGTGTACATTCAAAGGGTTGGTCCATTTGAGGGTTTTTTGTTTTCTTTTTACTTGTAAGAATAGAACTTTGAATGGCTTTTTCAGGGAAAATTAAAATCTTAGATAAAATGAACAGGACTTTGAAGGCAGTGCTTGAGCAGTTACGTACATCACCTTCATGAATTACTTTTTGAAATGTGAATACTGTATTTTTCTCACATATAGCATACCCCAAAATATAATACATACCCTGTTTTTGAAAGGAAGAATGAAGAAAAGATTTTTTTCCCCAGAGTTATGGCTGCATAGAGCAGGGACAGAGCCTGATCTTTACCCCTTGCCCTCCCTTTCCTGTTTAACTAGAGCTGAGACCCTAACTGCTCCTGAAAACTGGTACCCATGGGTGGGTCTGTGATTTTGAAAGTAAAGGTTCTCCGAGGCTGTGAAATGGGATGAAACAAACCAGGTGCAACTAGTGAACAAGAGAGTTGCCCTAAGAAACGTTAGCTTGATTACTGGAGCATCAAAACCTTTTAGAAGGACACATGAGTATTAACACCTCTGGTTAAACAACAGTGAGTTATTAAGTCAATTGATTCCCTCAGCTGTCTGAGTAGTAATTCAACAGCTGCTACACTGTGAAGGAGGAATCAAAGCCAGGGTGCGCTGACCCATGCAGAAAAGCAACTTCTCCGCATAAAACATACCCTGCACAGATCTGGTTCCGTGTGGAGCCATTCAGTACAAAATCAGTGTAAGCACTTCCTCTTTTTTTCCTCAGGTTACTATGTTGCCCATAATCATCTCTTTGGATTTTGAATGGAGGCAGGTGTTTAGCTGCCCCTATACCAGAATTGCACCACTTACGTTGGGACTCTTCTGCACTGGGTAGATGGTTTGAGTGGTGGTGTTTCTGTAGGGTTTTGCAGCAGAGTAACCAATTAAAAAAATGTCTATATAATGTTTGCAGAAGTAGGTCCTAAAACATCAGAGTAGTTTTGTAGAATTAATTGGCACTGGTCAAGTACTAAATGTACTCATTTGTATAAGTGTTTCCAAGATAGTAGCCTAAATATTGACATTGTTGTGTTTTAGCTGTCAGCATTTTTAAAAAATAATTTTGGCTATAAGTTTTATATTGCATTAATAACTTGTATACTTAATGATTTACTATAACATATGTTACACTGGCCAATAAACCAGTTGCATTCAATTATTAAAATTGTCTCAGGGTTTTTTAATCTTCAACTGTATATATAAATAACTTACCCATAAATGCATTTTCAGATAGTGACAGAGGACCAGTTCTGTGGCCATCAAGGCAATGATATGTATGATGAAGAAAAAGTGAAATACACTGTTTTCAAAGTATTAAAAAACTCCACACTTACAGAATTTGTTCAAAATCTTTCTCAAACTATGGTGAGTTTTCTGTAATATGGTATCTAGCCATCTGTATTATTTTTGTTGTCTGTATTTCCCAGGTATGTGATGTTCAGTCATAGTTTGGATTTTTGTTAACTGATTGGTTTTGACCAGTTCTAATGAAATACCTTAATCTATTTTTCTCAAAACCTTGTTCTTTTTAGGGATTTCCACAGGATCAAATACGGTTATGGCCAATGCAAGCTAGAAGTAATGGCACTAAAAGACCAGCAATGTTGGATAATGAAGCAGATGGCAATAAAACTGTAAATATTCACTGATGAGAGGGGGGGAATTATTTCTCTGTCTCAAAACGTACAGTTTTGACTGTAAAAATGTAACTGTAGAAAATCAGAACCCCAAGCGATTTGTAATAAATAATTACCTTTCTAATACAGTAATCTTTATTTTGGGGGGAGATTGTAGGTTTTTGAGAGTTGATTTTGTTTTCCGTTTTTTTTGTTTTTGGTTTTTGTTTGGTTGTTTTTTGAGAACAGATAGGGTAGATCTTTGCCTTGCCACAGCAGAAACAGTCATTATTTTACCTGCTTGTTATATGTGCTAATAGATTTAAATATATATTACTGGTATTTCAAATAATAAAGACAAGGGCAAGCTTCCTTGAATATGCTATAAAATATTGCACCCAAATATCAGTAATAATATGGATACTAAATGTTGTACTGACACATGCTGTAATGTTTGTTCTAGCAATTGTAATGGACTTTAAAAAAACAACAAACCCTTTTAAACTGTAAATATTCAGCCTCAAGAGTCCATTTCAGATCAAAATCTGTAGGACATAAAGCTTATTTAAGAAACCACAGCACAATACTTGTTGCTGTTATTTTTACTCTAATTAATAAACTTCCTGTCATTATAACTTAAAAAAAAAAGGATTCTACCAATGGTGTAAAGTTCTTTGAAGTACTTTGTTTAATTTTTAATGTATTGAACTGATCAAACAGCACATAGTATTTTGTCTATATTGAAGTCTTCTACGGGCATTTTTTACTCATTCTCTTTTTTTTATCTTCCATTTCTAAACAAACAGATGATTGAGCTAAGTGACAATGAAAATCCTTGGACAATATTCCTGGAAACAGTAGATCCAGAGATGGCTGCTACAGGGGCAACGTTACCCAAGTTTGATAAAGATCGTAAGTGTATATTCTAAAGCATGAAAAATCCAAAATCTCTCTTTCCTTCCCTCTCTCTCATTGTGTTGCAGTCTTCCATGGTAGAAATAGATTGATTTCAAATTGTATTAAGTATTAAAAAGCATTTAATCTACTATATATGGATGTTTATTTGGGTTCAGTATGTAAATAGTATTCTGAAAAAAAGATCTGGAAACCAGGTTGCATGTTGCTTGTCAGCTAAGAACATTTTTGTCATGCTATTATTAGCATGAAAGTGGATTTTACAGCTAGATGAGCTTCAGATGTGCTAAGATTAATGCTTTAGTTGAAATCAACTTGTTTCTCAACTTGTAGATGATGTAATGTTATTTCTGAAGATGTATGATCCCAAGACTCGGAGTTTGAATTACTGTGGACATATCTACACACCTATATCCTGTAAAATACGTATGTCTTCAAACTTTTCCTCCTTCAAAAATTTCTTTGAAATTTTAAAATTGCCAATTATTAATGTAGTTCTTTGCATTTGTTATCAGTTGTACGTTAAAATCACAAGTTGGAAAATAAAAAAGTTAAGGCTTTTACAGCCGTGTTAGTGTAGTTGTGTTGCACATGTAGTGTGTGTTAAGTGTGTTATAAAATATGCAAGATTTTACAGCATGGCTGCCGAAACAATCAGTCCTCAATTTCCTAACTCTGAAATATATTGTGCGACCTAATTATTGAGTTAGCATAGTTTAACATCCTTTTATTTTAACACAAGTTCAATTGTCTATACTCCATTGTCTGTACTCCATATGCTTCAGCTAGGCTTTGTTCATACCACCTTTTGAGATGAATGGGGTGCAAGAAGTGTTGGTTCTATCTTTGTTGCTGCAATTTATCTGGAGACGGTTATCTAAAAAACTTAAGTTATTGGGGTAAGAGCATATTGCTTGATGCAGGGATAATTATATCTTTGTTACCATATTAAAATTTAGGATTTTATTGTATGGTTGTGAGCACAGCAGATGTTTCAGACTGTGTAAAATTTTGGGATCTACATTTTTCATGCTAATAGGGGTTTTGGGTTTTTTTTTCTTATCATGAGTGCTACAATTTAATGAGAATTGTTGAGAGTTTTGGTGCAAAGTGTTCTGCTGTAATATTTGTAAAATGCCCTTGTATAATTTATCCCAGCAGCAGCCTGAGAACAGCAGCCCCTGTGCCTGTCAGGTTGAAGGGGTGGGGGGGTGTAGTTCTGCTTTACACCAATCCTGTTAATGTTAATTCCTGCTCTGTCCCCAAACAATGCAAGTGATGCAGCTCATTAACAATGGCTTAATTCAAAATGCAATGTTTCAGACTTTCCATTTTCTTTTACTCCAACTATGTTTGTGGGTTGTTTTGTTTTTAAAAAAAGAAAAAAAGACAAGAGATTAAATAATCTTAAAATGGGGGGCGGGGAATCATTATTTATCATGTTAGCTATATAGAATTTCCTCAAATTAAATAAAAACCCTAAAACAAAAGCAAACTATCTTTTGGACTCTTTCCAATCATGGAAAGTTTTGGCTTAAGAGAATTATTTTTCAGAAAGCTGGGCATATGAGCAGTGGTTGGGAGAAGGTTATAATGGAAATCTTTCTGTATCCTAACCTATACCTTTCATTAGTAGCAAAAGTTATACTGTACTAAATATTCTTTTCTTTTTTAATAGGTGACTTGCTTCCAGTTATGTGTGAGAGAGCAGGATTTCCTCAAGAAACTAACCTTATCCTCTATGAGGTTTGAATTATTATTCCTACAATAAATCTAGATCTGTTTATTAGCAAGTTTTCTATAAGAAAAAACTGCCATGTAATATGAAAGCTAAGAATTTCACTAAAATAGCACTTAAGTTATTTCAAATACAATTTAAATAAATATGATTTAAAATACATTCAGAATCATCCTTAAACTTTAAAGAAGTCAGTTTATGCTGTGAAAATTTAGATTCCATAGGAACCTGAAAATTGGACAGTTTCAAAAGTGGCTTAGGTTAATGCTAGCTCTCTTTTAAGATAGATTGGTTTAACCATGTGGTCTAATGTATCATATGAGATTCATCTGTCTCGAATGAACCAGACAAAATTCTTCTTTGAAGTTGATTCAAAACTTTATTATTAAGACAAGTTGAAATTTATAGTCATTCACTGAAAAGAAATAATCTATAAAATGCATTTGGTTGTGTTTTTATTTAATAGGTTATTTTCTGATCTTCTCAAGAGTATTTACAGTCTCTTTTAAACTGGGCCTGGATATCTGGAAACTTAAATGCTGAAACACTGGCTCTGACAAGTATTGCTATGACAGTTTGTAATAAGAGTATATGGTGTTTTTTACATCAGAGTTGCTAATAACTTACTATGTGCTTGCATACCTTGTCATGGCCTTGCCACAAAGCTGGGTTGAAGGGCATTGTGAAGGTTGTTAGTATCCCTCTTCCTAGTGAATTGAGAGTTACGTTTCCTTAAATATAATGGCTTGATTGAACATTCTAGCAAAATGCTTTAAACTGTTCTTGTAGCTTCTGCTTATTACAGCTAACAAAGCAAAGTTTTCACTGATAAAAGTGGTATGCACAACAGTGTATTGCAAATTTGCTGTATCTCAAAATTTGTCCCTCATATTTTGGGAAAGTATCAGTAAAAACCTAACTTTGAACTAGCAGTTAGAAAACAAAACAATAAAGAATTAACTTATCTATATGGAAATTTTGTATTATTAGCAATTGCTAGCATTAAATCCATGGATGTTCCCTGAGTCGCCAGACAGCAGAGCTGCTGCTGCTTGCAGGGTTGGTCTGCATACTTTCCGTGCCCCACCTCTGCATCTGCAACTGTCTAGACTTGTCTCCAGCTGCGGGGAGGAAATGTTGCATTTTCCCCTGCCTCTGCCAAATTATACGAGGCAGCAGGCAAGGCTTGGGAGTCCCCACCCCCTTTCGCAAGTATAGGAGTTAAAAAAAATATTTGTAATACTTGTTTTACTGGGATTTGAACTTTTAGTGAAGCCCTTGTTACTGTAGGAAGAACTCTGATGTTGAGTGCCTGCCATATTAGCAGCCATATTACTGCTCTCTCACAGGTGGTTGAGGGGGAAGGGAAGAAGGGTTAGGTACATACAGATTTTCCATACTGACAGGCAGAACTGCTACCATCTACTTCCATATATGCACTTGCAAACTTAAATGTAACTTAAAATGTGTAAAAGCATCTTCTTTCAGAGGGGCTGATTGAGGATCACAAAAGATTCTAACACCCAAGGTGATGCAACCAATGGTACCTGTATCTTAGTAACATACAGTACCTACCTGCTTTCTACGGTTAAATTGTATGTGCTTAATACTCCTAGTTTAAAAGGAAAAGATAGTCTGTTATCATAAAAAGGTTACACCTTGCCGAAAAAACTAGTATTACTTGGATAGTCTAATTCAGAAAGCTATCCATGTTGAAAACTGTCTTTAAACTTTGGAAAATATTTAGTACCTAGCCACTATTCAAATATAATGAACTATGGTATGTATGTACTCAAGCTAGTAAGAAGAGAGAGAATTTAATGCAAATTCATCAGTAAAACTGAACTATCCATCTCCATCAGAAGCAATGAAATTTATGAATTAAATATAATCTAAATTTAAAAACATCACAGTTCTTACATACTCCCATTTATTTACATTTGAAAGAAATGATGCATTATCCTGCATTATTATCTCTTTGCCAACTACCTGTTTACTATTTTGTCATTTATTTTCTCTGCACAATCAGAAATGAGTCTGATTTTTTTGTGTGTGTCCTTTTGGTTTTTACTGCAGGAAGTTAAACCCAATTTAACTGAAAGAATTCAAGACTATGATGTGTCTCTTGATAAAGCTCTTGATGAACTTATGGATGGTGACATCATAGTGTTTCAGAAGTATGTATTTGAGAAGATGGCTATAATTATGTTTACATTACCTGGTTCACATTAAGTGAAAGTTTCTATTTAGCAGTTCTAATAGTGGTTTACAAATAAAGCATCGTTTTCTAACAGCAGATATATTATCAGCAAATATCTATTCACTGGTCGAAAGGGGGGAAATAATTAAGCTACTAAGATTGTTTAGCTACCAATTCTGTAAGAAAACCCTCCCTAAAAAACTAATCATCAGAATGTCTGAAATTCTACAGCTTTGCCCCTAAAGCCACCATAACTCAGAAGCTGCAAATCTTTGGTGCGGTTCAGATCTTAGTCTCTATATTGTCTCCTGTAGAAAACGCTTGACTTTTGGGAGCTCCTCTCAGACTAAACTAAACTGCCTTCTCTTTTTTCCCTCACTTGTACCAACACGTTGTTTGTGCTCTGGCCTGCAGTGATTAAATGCTCCTGATTTAAGTGAGCGTGCATTCTAGAAGTTAATAGGGATATCAATGCTTATTGGAGGCTTCTCCAAGGCAAAAGGATAACCCTGCAGTTTTTATATCCGTTGAAGGGATCTTAACCTTGTTGGGGCTTTAAATTGGCATTTCTGTGCGCTCACTCCTGGTCACACCCAACTGTGTTGCTCTTTTTCTCCATGGGCTGACAGTGGGTGGAAGCCAGCTAGTCTATCTTCAGCACTCTTACCCCAGATTATGTGAGATGAATGTATTTCTCATGTCATGCCTTGGAACTCGCATTCCCTGTTGACCCAGTTGGTGTTATGCACCTTTGGCTGGCTGCTGACTTTTGGGTAAGTGCACAGCTTGTACCCTGGTGCTATTCCTCTGCCAGAGAAGGGGTACCAGTCAGTAGTGACCCAAACCAGTGTCTATACAGATGGTTCACATCTGTGATTCAAGAGCTGCTATCCAGCCATTCTGCAAAGTAAACAAAAATAATAAAGCTATAGTGAATACATCAAACATTCTGGCATGTTGCCTTTCTTGGGAGGAGGGGGGGAAAGAGTACTATTTGAATGCCCCTCTGAAACAAATGAGGTTGGCATGCTACCAGATTGGCAAATAAGTGAGTATAGTGTGTAGGCATGCTAGAAGCCCTGGCCCAGAGTAGATATATTTGAAGGGTATGGAGCACTACCGACTTTCTTAGTTCTACTGTGTACAAAAGGTGGCTCTGAAGATTTCCTAACTTCATTTCTGTATTTCTCAATAGTGTCACTGATTTACTGTAGAAACATATGTAAAAGCCCTAGTTATTTGTATTTGTGTACATAATGGGACAATTTGTCTATTTTTGTAGAGATGACCCAGAAAATGACAACAGTGAGCTGCCAACAGCAAAAGAATATTTCAGAGACCTTTACCACCGTGTTGATGTAATTTTCTGTGATAAAACCATCCCCAATGATCCTGGATTTGTTGTTACTTTGTCCAACAGAATGAATTACTTTCAGGTGTGTATCTTGTGTTGTAGCTGTCTGTTTTAGAGCATTTACTACTCATCACTAGGGGCCACAAAGGATTTTTTTTTTCTAGTCATGTTTGCTACTGGCTTCTGGAGCATTTTCATACTGTCCTCTTGAGTATTAATATGTTGGCCACAGCTAAAGTTGCAGGTTTTGGACTGGGCTGCTATAATGCTTCATTGCAATGATACGGCATTGACAGTGCCATGGGCAATGCATGCTTTACCTGTTGTGGCATGTTATAGGATGTCCTTGTTCTGTATGACTTGTAGTTATGTATGAGTATTTGAAGTGGTGATTTTGGGCATTCCTTGAGAAAAGGATGGCCTAGAGATTTAGGGGACTAGAGACTGCCTATAGTCCACCATACTTATCCTTTTTCTTTCTCGTTTATGTTTTCCCCCTTTGCAATGGTAAGTAAAATCAAATATAGGAACAAAACCAAGTTCAGATTAATTAGTGGGTCAGGATAACACTTTCTGTATTAAATACTCTTAAAAATAGTCTTTTTTTAGGTATGGACTGTTTTCATTTACATGCATCTACTTAGCATGCTGTGAATACTAATGGAAACCATTCCAGCTTTTTTTCTATACTTTCCAAAAATGACATTATAGAGATCTGGACATCACAGAGTTAAGAAAAAAATAATTCAGTTTAAAGATATTTTGTTTGTATATTTCCTCCCATCAGCTTTGAGATCTGAAAATAAGGGTTTTTTGTTTTGTTTTTCCCTGACTTCAGTATCCTAATCAATTGTAAATATTCTGCAGGCTAAATTTATGCCCTTGTTTTAACTTTGTAACTGCACTAATGGTACTAGCAAAGCCTCACCAAAATTATACATTTAAAATGGTCAAAAGGGAAAAATACTGAAATAATAATTAATAGTTCTGCTAATTGTGATTTAGTAGAACTACTGTGTTTTAGCCAAAATAGATCCTGTTCATGCCCCATAGTTGTTGTTGTTTTTTGCAGTATCAAGAAACACTGAAGGATGCCAAATTTATTTTTGACATTGAAGATGGCAACTGAGAGCATCTGCATGCATCAGGGAGCAAATAAGTGCCATTTTATGATCACTGTTGTGATTATATCTGCTTTCAGCAGTCTGTTTCCTATTTTGTCCCCTGAATTGCTAATTCTTTTATACCAGTTGTGATTGGACAATTAATATTGTGGTGAACTATGTGCTGCTTGTGATTTCACAAACCACTCATTTTCCCCACAGCTACAGTAATAAATGGAAGGGTGAAGAAAACAGGCAGAGTTATTTCCAATTTTCCTACAAGGTATTAAGGTCTAGGATCTTTATTGTTATTTAATAGCTTACTCTTTTATAAAAAGGGAGCAAATAAAACTGTCCTATGCTAGGCATTTAATGGTTACTGTACAAGATCTAATAGGATGTCCACCATCTTGAAATACCAGAGACCTCAGTTCCTGAATTCCATCACCACTAGTGTAGGGATTAGGTATTACTGTTTTTCTCTCACAAGATTCCCTGAGCCTTACAGAAAGTAAATACAGACAATACTATGCATGACCAAAGACAAATCAGTAACATAAATGACTGAAGTCATTTAGAACTTTTAAAAATATTTTATTTCCACAGGTTGCAAAGACAGTTGCACAGCGACTTAATACAGATCCAATGTTACTACAGTTTTTCAAGTCCCAAGGGTAAGATGAGTTTGTATAAATATAATGTTTTAGCTTAAATTTGTCACTTTTTTTGTTTAACATATCTTTAAACTGATTTTAACACAGGGATAGGCTTAGTAAATTCCTTAATTATTTAATAGCATCTCCTGTGTTGTCACAACTAAATCTTTATTTTCAAGAACTTTAAATGGGCATTCAGTTGCATGTTATGAGAGTTGTGTAATATTGTAGACCAAAATGATATATAACAAGAGTATTAATCTAGATAGCTGCTTAACACTCTGCTATATAAAACTAGCGCAGCAGATATATCTTCCTCTGAGTAGGTATGGGTTTGGCATGCATCTCTTTGCAGCAGTTTGTCTAGCTTAGTGGTGCCCAAACCTTTAGCACTACACGCCAGATGACTGATGTGAAGTGGGTCCATGGACTGGATCCAGTCTGTGGGCCAGTTCTGGCATGCATGAGAGGTCAGGGCTGGATTGAATCTGGCCCAGTACCACCATATTGTGGATGGGGCCTGGAAGCTCCCAGCTGCCTTCACATGCCCATTGGAGCCCTGTGACACCAGTCCCCCATGCAGGACCATGTCATCTGACCCATGGGGCTTGGAAATTTGGTAGTGTGGGAGCAGTGGCAGCATTAATTGCTATCACTTTAGCCCCCATCGCTAAATTTCTGGGCCCTTAGGGAACCCCGCAGGCCAAATGACATGGCTCGATGGTCTGGATCAGGCCTGGTGTGGGGAGCACCCCAGTCTAGCTAGTTAGAACAACTGTGGTTGCTGACCATAGGGGAAATCATTGGGCATTTATACGTGCGCTCCAGGGGTGGGGGAGGGGGAGTCACTTTAATTAAAGTGGCTCCAAGAGCTGCTGTAATTAAAGCACCCTAGCATCTCATGTATTAGCATCCCCACACTTTGAGATGGCACCAGGGGCAATTTAACTAAAGCTTGTCAAATGAGCGTTAGTTAAAACACCCCTGCTGCCATTTTGAAGTGTGGGGACGCTGATACACAAGACATGGAGGCTGGCTGGAACACGCTAATTAGCATACTCCAGCAGACTCAATTAATCAAGTCTGCTCAGATGCACTGTAATTACAGCACATTGGAGCAGCCTCCCAACACGTCTACAGGCAGCCTTTGATTTTAAAGGATCCTAGCCATAGTGGCCTTTGGTATCAAGAGACTGAATATGTTTCATTCAAGAAAGATAGATAGATTTTAAAACTATTAAAATGTATATGGTAAACTACAGTTCTAAAAGCTGTTATGTTAGATTTGGCTTCTGATTGGTTCAGAATAGTTTTGTTATATTATCAGAGTTAATAGGACACTGATTTGACCATGCCTTTCTAAAAAAGGTGGTAATCAAAAAGCAAAACATTACAAATATTTTCTTTTTTATTTACAACTAAGGCTGTGATATATTAGGTTTATTTTTGGGCTCTGTTTGCACTGCTAATTGCAGACTTCAGGTCTTTGGTTTATAATGGAGAGGAGTACTTTAAAACAGACAGGGAGGAAAGAGAATAAAACACCCTGCTCCTCCTAAAAGTTGATGCGATTTGCACTCATAAATACCTTAATTTCAAAAAATTGCCTGAGCTCTCTAAACATAACGATGTATAATTTGGACAACTGTTTCTTATCCTCTCAAATGTTATAGACAGCTAAACTTACTTCACATTCCTACTGGTTATTTACTGTGTAGAGAAGAATGATGAAATGATGTTGATGTGGTGTTTTCTTCTGTAGTTATAGGGATGGCCCAGGTAATCCTCTTAGACATAATTATGAAGGTACTTTAAGAGATCTCCTGCAGTTCTTCAAACCTAGGCAACCTAAAAAACTTTACTATCAACAGGTACGAAACTTCATTGTTGCGGGGTGGGGGAGGAAGCAGGAAAGGGGAAGGAAAATGTGATTGTCTTTACAAGCCTGTTTTAAAGTGTGTGTGTGGTTTTTGTTTTTATTCCTCTCTTCCCTCAGCTCAAAATGAAAATCACAGATTTTGAAAACCGGAGAAGTTTTAAGTGCATATGGCTAAATAGCCAATTTAGGGAAGAGGTGAGTACGGTTTTGGCTACTGCTAGTAATTTTTTTTACATGTTTTTTCATATATATTTTATATACAGTTAGTCATTTTTATAAAACATTTAATAATATATTGATAATATATTGTACATATGTGATAATGATTAAGTATGCAGATGTTTGTTTGTTTTTTTAATTCTTGTGCCACTTAGAAATTTAACAAAAGTTGCCTCTCTTATTCTCTGGGTAACATGCTAAATATGTATATTGTCACCAACTTACAGTTCCTAAGAATAAGGATTGGAAAAAGCAAGGTATTTTTTTGGCATATGTTTGTTAGTAATAAAATCTGTTACACAAGCATTAGTGTGAAAGTCAGAATTCAGCATGTTTTGTCCTTTGTGGTTATTAACTTTTCAGTTTCTCTAATTTTTTTTTTTATTTTAAATATTATATAGGAAATAACGCTATATCCAGATAAGCATGGGTGTGTACGGGACCTCTTGGAAGAATGTAAAAAAGCTGTAGAACTCTCTGAGAAGGGTTCGGGGAAACTAAGGTAAGTACTGCTGGAAAGGATATTGATTTTCATGGGTTTGACTATTCATTTAATCTAAACAAAAGCTTTTGGGGTTTACAGTATCATGAAAATATAGTGCAAATTAACAGAAAGTCTGGTGTTATGAATTTAAAACCTGTATTACAAAGGGCTTCAAAACATCTAATGCTGGAATTTCAACCAAGGTAAATAAGTTAAGATTGCATAAAAAAAATCCTTTACTTTTCCATTGACTAAAAATATACTGACATTTAATGTTTTTTGTACTTGCCAGTTTGGACAGTCTATAAAATTATTGTGTTTTCTAGCAGCTCAGGCCACTCACTTTTCAAACATTCAAAAAATCCATTGTCATATAATCTCGGAAAATATAAGTTACGTCTGTCAGTATATGATGCAGGTGCACTGATTCTTCATAGGAGTTAAACTATTTCCTGGTAATTGAAATTCTGTGAGAGTACTTTTGGTAGAAACATGTTTTTAAACTAGTAACAAAAGATAGGGCCGGTTTGCTCTTTATTTAGAGCAGTTTCTCAATCTCTTTTAACTTCAAGGCAGCCCTCAAAAATGCCAGCTCTTAGTCGTCACTCATTGTTTACTACAGAAAAATAATACAGCAGTTTTTCTGTTGCAAATAACTCAAAGACCACATCAGGGCAGAGTATTTTTAACGGTATGGATTTTTGTTTGAAATCCCTGTGTTTGCCTGTTCACCTAACAGTGCTATCATTGTGTGGCGCCCTTGAAAGGATCTCAAGGATCCTCAAGGTGCCATGACATCCTGATTGAGCATCACTGCCTTAGATGCTAACTAATATAAACTATACCAGTAGTAATATAATTTTAATTCTGGTTGTAGTAATATGTTACAAGTTTATTAGATCAGTGGTTTTCAAAGTGGAGTAGGCCTACTCCTGGGAGTATGCAGTGCTTAGCCAAGGAGCTTATGCCTAAATTTTAATAATGGTGTTGGAACTTTGGGTTGGTTAATACATGAATAATGACATTGCTGCACATTGATGTCTATGTCAACACTTCCTAAGGAATGGACATGCAAAGAGGGTGTTGGGAGTGTGAGCAGCACTGTTTTACAAGTAAAGCAGTATGTGGCCAGAAAAGTTTGAAAACCACTGTATTAAACGAACGTTATACTGATTCTTTTCTTTTCTTTTTTTTTAAGGCTGCTAGAAATTGTAAGCTACAAAATAATTGGTGTCCATCAGGAAGATGAGTTGTTAGAGTGTTTATCACCTGCAACAAGCCGAACGTTTCGAATAGAGGTAAATCTTAAGCAGCATGAATTACAATTTTCAGATTGTTCTCTTCTAAGCAGACTAGCTGGCTTGCATGGTAACTTTAAAACAATTACACTAAAGAGGAACTTAAGGTTCTTTAAACCTGTAATGATTTATGCCCAAATAATTTTATGAGAGAAAATTAAATCTGTACAAGGAATAATCCATAGTCATTAGCCTCTTCATCAGCAATTCCCAGGTTCACACAGGGCTTGTGCTGTAAATTTTTGTGCTCAGCACCTAATTTCCAAGTTGTAAATTTGTGCTTGCCTGCATACTTTTTCTTCCTTTCCTTTTAATTGGGGAGTTGTGTTCAGTTAGGTTTTTGAGCTAGATGACATGGTTTGAGCCTCAAGACTTTCTTTCTTTTACTTAAAATGATTGAAGCAATCAGCACTTAACTTGTATCAAATTTCATAAGTATGGAATGAAATTAAGCCATAAGTATAAATTTATCACTAAAAAGAAATGAGGAGGAGTGCATAGGGATATTGTCATAGCCACCACACAGAAAACATTTGATTTGTGAAGTCTCTTTGTGTGGCAGGGAAATAACTTCATGTTGAGGTCTTGCATCCTGGCTCTGTGACAAAAAACCCATGAAAGGAAGCTAAAGGGAAATTGCCTCTGACATCCATTCCTTATCCCACAAACACCCTGAAAAAAATGGCTCTTAAATGACCTTTTGTCACTGAAGTTCCTTTTAGTTTAAGATGTGTTGTTTGGTTGGTTATAGATGTTAAGACTATGGATTGCTTATGTTTTTACATGTTAAAGTTTTCTTGCCAGTTTTAGCCTATCATGATCATAGTTTTGTATCTGAATTTAGGAAATCCCTCTGGACCAGGTAGATATAGATAAGGAAAATGAGATGCTAATCACAGTGGCACACTTCCACAAAGAGGTTTTTGGAACATTTGGAATTCCATTCTTGTTGAGGATACACCAGGTATACTATGTTTCCTTCATTCCTGTATAGGATTCTTTTATTTAGTGTCTTCATAAATTTCTGTACAAAAAAGTAGAACACTGATGCCAAATATATATATATATGGCAAAATATAATTCCTATGGAAAAGGTTCTCAAACTATTCAGTTATGAAACTTGTTCTGAATCCATTCCAAACTGCAGAAGAAAATGTGTGGGAGAGTGGCTTATGACAGTGGCACTCAACCTTTTGGGCCTGTGAACCAGATGAATGGAGCAGGTCTGGTCCTTTGGCACCAGGATTGGTCCATGGGGCCCAACACTGCCCCCTCCCTGCCCCAAACTCCAGGAGCGGGCCCTGGGGCCACCTCTCCTGCCCCTGAGCATTAGCATTGGTTCCTGGAGCCCCGGTGCTACCCCCACCTTTGGGATTGGTTCCTGGGGGTCTAGTTCTTCCCCCTCCCAGCCTTCCACAACAGGATTGGGCCCTGGGGCCCCGTGCCCCCCCTGCTTGGGCCTGTGCATTGGGATCAGGCCCTCAATCCAGCATGCAGGGCCCAGGGCTTCCAATGGGTCTGGAAATTTGGTAGTGAACTGTGTCACTGTTCCTTCACTGCCAAACTTCCAGACCCGGTGTTGACTGCCTCTGGTTTATGAATAAGTTATTGAACTATGATCCAGCAGATTAAATTTCAGTTCCTGGTTTTTTTTTTCTTCTTTTTTTATAACAGATTCCTTCTGTGATTCTCAAATCAAATCACTTAAATGTTTCTGCTTCTCAGTTCTTCATTTATAACACTTCCTCCTTCCCGTTCTGTCTCCTTTGTATAATTAGATTATAAACTCTTCATGGCAGAGTCTGTTTTTTAGTACGAGTTTATATGTCTGCTACAATGGAGCCTTTATCAATTCTGGATTTGTGGTCTAGCTGTAATAATTTTAAAAAGATCTTTGTCTTGAAGTTTCGCCTGATTAGTGCTTGCCTAAGAATGAATTATTTGGCTCCGATGTGAGTTATGTGGTTATGAAAAACGAGCACATTTCGCTTTCTGTGTACCTTTTCCAACATAACTTTATCAGCTTATAATTCAAATGGTTTATTTTAAATTTTGTCATGCACTTCATCAAAGACAGAAACCATTGCAAAAGTGAAAAGGCTTGGCTTTAATTTTGAAAGTTAACTTCTTTGCTTTTTTTTATTTATGATTCCAATTCAGAACCATATATAGCCTTTTAACTTTAATAGTATATTAGCAAGTCTCTAGTGCCAGTCAATTAAAAATACTCCCAAGCTATTTTTTGGTTCTTACATATCCATTTTTATGAGTATTTATCTAGTTTTATAAGATTTGGTTTGAGAAATGTGTGCATTTCCACATTTTAGAGGGAGGGTTGTAGATGCATATTTTATATGTGCATAACAGTACCAAGTGAATATGTGCATTATTTTGAAGGAGGGCCATATTTTATTCTTCCCTTTCTCTAGTGACTGTGTTACTGATGTTTTCTGGTTCCAGTGCATCATCTCTTGGGGTTTTATATTATAACACAAAACGGATGCTTCAATGATAATGCTAATTCAGGCCAAAATTGCAGCGTGGTGGAGATAGATTGTATTTGCATAAGTGTTTGGGTTTTGTTTTGTGGGGGGGGTTTTAACACTAGCTTTTTTCTGCCTACTAAACTTCTTCCTTTATGTCTCAGTCTTAACCTGATTTAAATGCCATAAGTTATATACCATTACAACTAAACAAGTGAAGTGTTTGATCAAATTAGAGCAATATTGAAGATAAGCTACTGATGATAAACTGAGAATCAAAACTGTACATGCTGTATGTTGCCACCAACTAAATAACATTTATGTAATTTTGGAAATAACTGAGTAATGTGTGTAACATATTTGAATGCAGCATGGGGAAAGAACCAACACAACAGTCATCCAGTTCCTTTAAAAAAAAATATATCAAGCTATCTTGTTGAATTGATAGGGTGAACACTTCAGAGAGGTGATGAAGCGGATTCAAACAATGTTGGACATCCAAGAAAAAGAATTTGAAAAGGTAACAGTCTAGTGGGGAAGGGTTTTTGTTGATGTTTATAAATCCTAAAGTTAAAAAAAATCATAATACAAATCAGCCCAGCTAATTTATCAGAAAAAAATAAGATTCAGTTTAGATCAACTGTTTTTGGGATTGTCTGAATAAGTGGCAGTAAGCAAGGAGAAAAAGTGCTATATAAGAATTTTCAGTTTCCTCTTTCCTTGCTTGGAAACCATGCCACAAAATCAATCCATTTTCTGCTTTTGCTGAGAGGACTGTTGCTTCATTTATAAAGTTTTGCTTTTATCCAAACTCTTGATAATTTTGTTCCTTTTTGAAGTTTAAGTTTGCCATTGTAATGATGGGTCGGCACCAGTACCTAAATGAAGATGAGTATGAAGTGAACTTGAAAGATTTTGAGCCCCAACCTGGTGAGTAACTAATTGACCTGACTTTATTCTTTCAAACTGCAGCTGTTGCTTTGCTGTTTGTTATGCAGTCTGTTGTAAAGCAGGACTTTAATTTAAGAAACAAAGAAGCTTTGTTGCTCTCTGTACATAATAATCAATGATCATAATCAAATGTTTGCTTATATACATATAAATATTTATATACAGTTAAATATAGTACATCACTCTTCTAAGTGTATAGATTGCTTAATATGAGAGAATATTAAACATCTAAAAGCAAAATACTTGCATACCATGTGTTTTCCCAAGTGTGTCCCCAAGTGACTGAGTATTGCATTAGACAAAGCTAAAAGGAAGCTGCAGTGTCAGCTGTTATTTTTGCTCTATTGTCCATCCTATCCTACTTTGCATACTTGATTTCCACACATTTTTCATGGAGTAACATAAACACTGTATTGCTATATATAGTGCAAGCTGCATTCTCATGAACATTTTAAAACTAAGACTGTCCCAAACAAGTTGTTGATTTCTTATATTTCCTGTAGAGTTAATGTAGTCTCTGTATGTTGCCAGTGAATGTGAAGAATCTTAACAGGAGCAGGACATTAGATAAGAGAAATTAATGCTGTATAGAAATATAGTATGCCAAATTCAGCTGTGCATCTGTTTACTAACTTGTACTTAAAGTTCTGTTCACCATGCTAGCATGGGGAGGTGCAAAACCATTGGAACCTGTGGGACTTGTATGCATTCAATACTGAGTAGGGCTTTCATTCTCTCAGGGCTTCTCCTGAGGATAAAATAGCAGTTGAGGGTGAAAAAGGCCTGATTTTCAAAGTAATTAATGGACTGTAGAAACAAAATTAAAAGCAGCGTTGTTTAACCTGATATAGTCAATAATGTATAATAAGAATAATAAGGTAAACTAGAATGAAAAGAGCAATGCTGAAACTGGCAGTGAAAATCGGAAGATGCTGAATTTGTAACTTGCAAAAGTTAAACATAGACTGTCTCCCTCATGCTGAACTGAACAAGCTAAAGCCTTGGGTCTGTCCCAGGCTTTAACTAGACTGACTTAGCACATGTTAACAATGGCTGTGCACCTCTACACTTGACTTTTCAAAAAGTTGTCTAACACTTTCTAAAAATACTTCAATTAATCCTAATCTAGACAGACTGAAAATGAGTGGTATGTTCTGCCACTAATTAAGTAGTGTGTGGTGTTTTGGTGTTGGACTGTCGCTCTTTACAGGCATTAAAGTTGAAGAAAAAAACATTCAATTGATCAAAGAACACAGCTGTATGGTGTGCTAGAGGAAATGCAATGGTTGATGTGAAAGGCTTCTACAATCCTTTTGTTGCGTTAATATGGCAAGACTTAAGATGTTTCATAAATTGCCATGCAGAAGGTATTTGAATGATTTGTACCAATTAAACCCCTGTTCCCTCTTTTCTTCCCTTTTCTAGGCAACATGTCTCATCCAAGGCCATGGCTAGGGCTTGACCACTTCAACAAGGCCCCAAAGAGAAGTCGCTACACTTACCTGGAGAAAGCTATTAAAATCCATAACTGACTCACTTAACCCATTTGTTCAAGGCAAGGGACAACAAATAAGTGTGTGTGTGCACCTTTTTAACAACAGTAGAACTTTGGTACACGTGCACTATATCTGAAGTCTTCAGCAAGAGGATTTGCTGCTGATGTTAATTTTATTTTGTTGAGGCTGTTCAGTTTGGCTTCTCTGTATCTATTGACTGCCCTTTTTGAGCAAAATGAAGGTGTTTTTATAAAGCTTGGATGCCAATGAGAGTTATTTTATGGTAAACGTAATGCAAGGCAATTGTCAGCATAATGAGGGAAGAGTTTAGTAGACCAGTTGACATTGGCAAAATATTTGTCTGTAGTACGTTTATAGATGGCATAAGCTAGCTGGCTGCCCTTCCTGGTGTGGTATTCACCATCACAGCAGCTAGTAAGTCTTATGTTTAGACTCACATCGGATTTATTTCCTTCAGTTATACTTTAAAATGACATTTTTGTGCATTTGTAAATGCAAAAAACTCACATCATCAATAAATAGCAATCTCTACTTCATTGTGTACATTGTTGGCACTTATTCGGGATTTTTGTCTCATCCAGTTGCATAGAATCTTTTTAAATAAACTAGTTTTCATTTAATTCAATCACTACTTTGCATCCCGTTTTGCCAAATGGATGCTCTGAGTCCTAAAAGATATTTGGGTCTTTTTATTAAATTTACAAACCTTGACACATACAGTTAAAGTTTACTATGTTGTCTTTTGACAAATAAAATGACACTCGAAGTTGGCAAAAGCAGGTGAAAGGATTATAAATATAATCGATTTAGTTAAAGAGGAAAGAGATGGGAAAAACACAAGAAATAGCCTTTTAGCACAGAGGGCATGCTCACTAGTGTTTAGTAAGCTGTTGAATTTGTAAAAAACAAAAAAAAAAGAAAGAAAAAGAAAAAAAGAAGAAACAGAAAAAAGAAAACAAAAAAGGAAAAAGGAAAAATGAAAAAAATGAAATTGTATATTTAATGAATGAACTTGTACAATTTAACACTTGGAGGTTAATTTTGTTGGGTGAGTCTGCAAGTGAACTTCACTGATGTTGATATTCATTGTGTGTAGTTTTATTTCAGTCCCCAGACTGCTTCCTTTTCTTTTGGAGCTAATGCCAGCCGCGTGTCTAGTTTTGAGTGCAGTAAAGATAGAATCAGCAATTCACACTTCTTAATTTTACATTCTTTTTCAGTATTTTATTTTGTTTCTGTAGCCGCAGTGTACAACAACTCTTCCTGTATATTGCCTTTTTTGCTGGAAAATGTTGTATGTTGAATAAAATTTTCTATAAAATTTTACTTCGGTGAGTGATGACATGGACATTGAAGAAGATTTCTGCTCTTCCTGGAAATACAGTTTGGGAAATGTTTTCATTTGTAAGGTTTTGCTGAAGATATTTTTTTCATTTTAATATTGCCAATGTATTAACTGGGTTTGGTTGTTTTGAAGTTTGAGGGGATTTTTGTGGGCGGGGTTGTGGGTGGGGGTGTTTGCTTCCTAATTTTAGCTTAAGAAACAAAAGTTCATAGGAGGGAATCATGTACAAATAAGATGAATGGAAAAATATTTTACTAGTTTGTTTGTAAAGCTTGTAGTAGAGTCTTTGTAGTAGACTTGACTCTGCCTGCCTGTACAAAATTTTGTGGTCCAGATTCTCAATTCTAATATTATAAAAGGTGTAAGGTAAAACCTGGAGTCTCTAAAGGTAAGCTCTCTTAATAGAGTGATAGATTCCTGTTGTATTGTGCTCCCTGTATTCATAATCATAAGCGTTCTTAGACGCTTCCTTTCTTCCAACCTATCAATAAACATATAATAGGGGTTATATACATGTTATGGCCTTTATAATTTTTTCTGAAATTTGGTTCTGGTGGTTATTTAAAAAAAACAGCTCGCCAGAAGCATCAGTTCTTAAAAGTTTTCTTAATTTCAGTTTTTAAATAAGCTTACTCACTTTCACTTTTATTTTTAAATACTTTTGGTGATTGCATGTTGTGTGTTTAATCATGTCTTTTATCTTTCCAGTCAAGGTAAATTATTTACATTTATTTTTGTAGGTTTGAAAGTATGATGTGGAAAAAAGTGCTTTAAATGGTATGCCTTAAACAGATAATTGATGTCTCTTGATTCATGGTTGTGTTAAACTGGTGAAGATTCTGATGCAGTCCGGAGCAATCTAGTCCTTATTGGGTGTTTGGATTGTCTTTTAAATGCCCTCAGTAAATACCAGGATTTTCAGAAAATCTAGGTAATTCCATTCAGAAGTGATGTACCTTTCTTGAACGGTAGTGTAAGTATAGTCAAATACCCCACCTCATTCTTTTAAAATGATTGAATGTTGACTCGCACAGTGTGGTAACATTGACCCTTAGCTAAAATCTTACTTCTTTTGTCCTTTAGGAAAAAACATCTTTTTCAGTGTTGTCAATAAATGTTTTAGTTCTTTCTGAGACAGAGGGATGGATAGATTTTTTTTTTTTAGTTTTTTTAAAGATGCTTAGTTTCACATACTTTGCTATTGTGGTTATTGATAGTACTTGTGCATTAACTCTGAACAGGAATTTGCATATTAGAAGGCATTTTGCTTCTCCAACTTCCTTCTTCACTGAGGATTTTGAGGTGACTTTTAGAGTGCAAGTAGTATTCAGGGGCAGAAATCCCTAACACAACAAAGGAAGGCAGGGTATTATCTCAGGTGCAGTATCTTTGTTCAATTTAATAATTTACAAGAATACAATGTCATTTTCAAAATAACTAATTTCCATTCTAGTTTATATTTTATCATAGCTGAGTAGCAAAAACTGACTGCAACAAAAGCAATAAAACAAAAAGAAAATCATGCCATTTGTTCTCATGTTATGCAGGATCACAGCAGCATATTATAATGAGAAACCTGAATTGTTTTTATCAAAATAAAAATAATTGTATGTTCCTTAGTGCCTTTATTTCCAGAGGATCTCAAAAGCGCTTTATAAACTAATACAGATAGGATGAGTGAACTAAAGTAGTGTGTGGGATGGAAAGTAGCAGTCAACTTGGTATACTTCCTACCAGTGCTCACTAGAGTTTTGGCTACCACCAGCTGGGCAAACTCCTACCATTTCAAAACATGACGCACAAATTTCAGATTTATTTATTTATTTATGTATTTTGAAAAAGACGCACGCAGAGCAAATTACTTTGGGAACTCAGTGAACTGTATCTACCTCAACCCTTTTCCCTTCTGAGTTGATGCTACTAGATTTGAACCTGTAGTTCGAGAACCAGAGAGCCTTCAGTATTTTAAACCTGAGGCTTGGACCATTCAGTCTGTCCTATGGGTTTTATGTTGGCTGCAGTAATCAGTAAGTAGATATTAGCTATGCTATGCTTTTTATATTTAACATACACATGTTAGAAACCATATTCTATAGAAACTGTATGTGTTGTAAATAAAATAGACTAGAAAACACTGAATCTGTGTCTGTGTTCACTCATTTACTTTTATACTGGAAATTATCTTGAGTCAAAAGCTGTTGATTTTTTTCAAAAATCATGACAGCTTGAACTTGATTTTGCAGAATATGTTTGTCTCAGATTCCAGAGTTTTTCTGCAAAACTACTTTTATTATATGAATGGTGGAGCTGGCTGGAGAGAGACCATTGTATTTCATAGTTTCATAGTAGCTAGGGTCAGGAGGGACCTGAACAGATCATCTAGCCTGACCCCCTGC